TCATTGCACGAAGCTACTTTCACGTGGATGATTGGTTGAATAACCCGTACGACGTTTCCAATTGATAATCACACTCGAGTTCTTTGAATTGACTGCTTTAAAAAGGTCAACCAACTATAGTTCAGGATTTGAAAATTATTCTGTTGACGGATGCAAGTCTGACAGGGGGATCCACGAATTTAACGATGAGAGTGAAATTGGGCTGAATTAAACATGCGTTATTCGTTTCCCTCCTGCCCCCCAACCTCCCACCCACCTCTTCATCACGCGAAACAACTTTTACTCTATTCCGATTATCCTTAATTAACTTTCGCATACTTTTCAAATATATATATGTGTAATATGTGAACGAGCGAATGTCGTGCACTCGTGGATATAGGTAAAAATACTCGAGACGTGCAAAAGCCAGTCGAACGAACGTGTACCGTTACTCGGAACGTTTGCGTTCCTCGTCCGATCCTCGTCTTCCTTTATCCCATTTATCCCTTATCTTTCTACCTTTTTTTTTATACTTTATCCAAGTATTTTTAATGTTTTAATTATACGTCACGAATAGGTACGTATGCTATTAGGTTGAATCAAAACTTCATATGCGTTTCGCTCGAAAAATAATTGTATTGACTTTAAAAAATTAGACTAACTGAAACAACCACAACAAAATGCACAAATTTTTGATCTGGAACCTATTATTAGGATGAATCAAAAGTTTGTGCATGTTTTAAAATTGACGAGTAATTTAATCGACTTCGATAAATTGCACTAACGGAAACAACACAATAAAATGCATGAAAGTTTGATTCACTTTGATATTAAGTTCAGTCATAAATAACTTCTGTTCCAAATGTTAAATCGAAAGAAAATAAATGAAACAAACGGAAGAGTTACATATTAATCGATCTAATAATAGAAAACTAAATTACGTTTTATAATCGTCCGACTTGAAATATCAGAATGAAGTGGATGAACTCATTTGCAGGTCGAGTTATTAACTGCACCTTTGATTTAATGAATTAGACGACAGTATTTCTTCCTCAACGTTTTAATATACTTTAATACAACATTTACCCTTCGTAGATTGGTAGTGGTTGGAATATGCATAAATAAAGGAAATGATCGAACAATAGATTAATGCAGGATAATAGAAAGCATTGTAAAAACTTGGATCGATTAATAACACGCATCTGTACCTAACGTGAATCTTTTATCATCTCTCCCACACACATACACACACGTATGTTACTTTCCAGAATTCGTTTAGATAGAAAAAAAGTTATTAATAAATAATTATACATTTTTTAAAATGATGATCAAACATAATCTTAAAACACCAAAACGCAGCCATCTTTTTCAGATTCTCGAGGTCAGGTCAACGAGAAAAAGATCAGGGTCCTATGTTTTCCCTTTCCAAGGGATTTTTTCATAATAACAAAAGAAAGTGAACGTGTTAGTCGCGATTGAAAGTACGAAGAATGTTTAATTGACGGACTAGGAGAAGAAATACGCGTGGCCTTTCCCATTCAATGCCATCATCTCTCAGAACGGTCGTGGTTCGATTATGGCAACGAATGATGTTGCGCATTCTCTTTGGTTAGCAACTTCGTACAAGTTTTGTACATTTTTCTTTGTCTCTCGCGTGGACGACGGAATCGAATCGATCATCGGATTTGATATGAACAAATTCTTTCGAATGGTGGTATTACGAAAGAAAGGTCCATTTAAAAATAGATTTACGCAGTTATTCTACGTAATTCCAGCCTGATCAAAAATAAAATCGCACAATTCGGCGTCAATCTTAACGCGCGTGTCAGAAAATTCCGATCGTCGTGCGAAACTATGCCAAACGAAGCCTCTCATCTGCCAACCCTTTCTTTCTCTTCTTTTTTTTTTTCTCTTCCTACCCTCCCTCCTACTCCCCCGTTCTCGTACAAACGAGTATTATTGTGTCATTACGGAAGTTTACGATACGATGCTTCGATTAAAAGAAGGGAAACACAGTAGGACAGTTTTATAAAACGTAGCCTTCAGTTTCACGCACGATGTATCGTATTTCCGTTTAAATCTCGTCATCGTTATTGCGTAATCGATGATGCCTACAACATTTTTTTCATATTTGAAATCAGCGTGCCCGATATAGCCAAAATCAGCTCTAAGATTGCAAGCACCGAAATCCGTGTTACTCTGTGTTATCGAAAACCCCTAAATGTTGCTGTATTCAGAAACAAAAATTGCTGGACGTGAATTCGCATCAGCGTTAATCGGGAATGGAATTTAAAAATGACGTGAACTACTCGCGTCAGCAACAAAACAGGAATAGAACTTTTAGAAAAAAAATCTACATAAATTCAGCGTCAGCGTTTGCGAATGTGTTAAAGAAATATAAAATAAAAAAAAGTCGGACGAAGTTTTTCGGTTGAGCCTAATATTACTAGTTTCGAAACGTATAAAGAATGGTCGAGGGGAAAGGGAAAGGGAGAGGTGAGTTGGACTGGAGTTTTATTCGAGTGAACCGCGACCTACTTGATCACTACAGATACCGCTACTTGCCATCCCGTCGACACTCTTCTCTTCTCCCACCAACCTAAGCTCGGTTATTACAACGCTGTCGTAAGCACGGTCCTAAGATTACGGAAAACAGTCGCGGCTAAATCTTTTGGCAAAGTTTAAAGAAAGAAAAATAGAAATGCGAATTGGTAACGTCCTTTAAAGATCATGCCAAAAATCCTAAACTATATCCCGATGCTGCAGATTTCTTTCTTTTACTTCCTCGCAATAAGAAGTTTGTCTTTTTTTTTTAAGTATATTATCATAAATAACGGGTTTATACTCGAGAACCAATAGGAGAATTCGCCGAGAGAACGTGATTTCTCGTTCACATTTTCTTTCTTTTTTTTTTTTATTATTCGTTCATTTAATCTACCATACTAAAGCTTTTCTACTTTTCCTCGAGGGAGTACCATTGACGGAGTTATGATACTTTGGCTTATCGCGATGGCGCACCTGTTACTTGCACTCGGCATATTTCTAAACGATTTCTTCAATCTTTCGGTTTGAAACCTTTTAAAGAAATACTTTGTCATTTTTTTTTTATTTTATTTTTCTTTAATTAAATAACTAAATTGTACTCTACTAACTAATTGCTACTCTATTTTATTTCCGACGTACAGTACGATACATCAATTTTTCTTTTTTACTAAATTTTACTCCCATAAAAATATTTGTCGAGAAGGAAACACAATTATACTTAAAAGTATTAAACTTTCTGTAGATGAAGCGAATGGAACTAAGGTAGAATAATAGAAAAATATTATGTACTCGTTCGAAATATTAAATTGAAACGGATATCTCGCTTCGATAGTTGAATTTATCGTAAAATGTTATAATTTCACGGAGTGTGCTCGCGAATCGAAACTGTATCAACGTGTATCATTAATAATTATTATCTCTATTGAATTATTTCTTTAAAATACGAGATATAGAAAGAATAATAATAATAGAAAGTATAAAATGTGTATGAAACATTAAACTACTCTCTAACATAAAACAAGACATTTATTCCTTTCCTTTCCTTTCTCGTTATATTTGATTACTATCAGCTGATACATTGAAACCATGTGTATTAAACGACGTAGAATCTTTCCTGTCACGAGTTGAATTGTACCGCAAAGGGTTAATGGCCCTTAAAGAAAGGTTCGGCCGTGTTGTCGGCAATTGTTCGACATTGTGTGTTCGTAACTTGTTTCCGACGACCTAATGAATGGATGTTCTTTCTTTACTCATTGTCGTTTGAGCATTGCGTGGTCTGAATATAAATGAAAAGAAACGACACCCTATATATTATAATACAGTGTACGGAGACATAACGGTCTCTGTCAGATACCTTGATCTTTTCTGCACCGATGCCAAGTGGAACGCCTATATTTACCTACACACACACACATATACACGTACCGTGGACTAATGCGTTCGATTATCAATACGAAATACCATGAACGATCGAAGACAAGTTTCGAATAACTTCCGAGACCCCCTTTTTCGCATCCGTCCTATTATTATCTTTTCCAGGATGTTTTACTATTACTGCGTTTGATCGTTCTGTTCGATAGAACAGAAATCAACCAATGTTTTTGAGGTTATACTTCTTTTGGCGCGTATACAGAAAAAAATGGCGGAGAGTGAATTTTTTCGATGCGCGCGCACAGCGACACGAAATTAACAGAGTGAAGTTGGTCGGTATGCGCGCGCACAGCGACACGAAAAAATTAACACCATGAAGTTAATCGACAAATTAAAGTTTAGTATATTCAAAACATTTGTTCTAATATTTTTATATACACGACACGTGTTTTCTTTTTTTTTTTGTATTAAATTGTCCGGGAATAAATAAAAAAAAGTCTACATATAAGCATACTATTAGGGTGAACCAAAAGTTCGTGCTGTTTATTGCATCGTTTCGGACAATGCAATTTTTCCAAGTCAATCAAATTGTTAATTTTAAAAATTCACGAACTTTTGATTTATCCTAATATCAAAAAAGTCGCGTCACGTTGGAATGTATTCGTGGAACGCGAGGTTGGCAAAGAAAAAGATTCTTTTTTTTTTTTTTAAATTAGAATCCGTTAACTTAATTGAATCGTTCTCGATATTATCGAGAAAGATTGCTTGCATTTGAGAGTCGCGAGCGTGTGTGTAAACAGGTGATGCGTGTCCTCGTTTTAAAGAACAACGAAAGGGGAGTCACGAACCTAACCGTGTCACATGCGTCTACGAACGTGACTATGATGATCGAGGAGGAGGAATCCCACTTATGTAACTAATGACCCGGCTTTCGGGAACCTACTGAATAAATTGATCTTAATGCTATCGATCAAACCCTTCAACGAGTCTTTTGAAAATAACTTTGCAATTGGACAATTTGGAATTGCTAAAAAGTACCCAAATCCAAATAAACATTTATTTGTAATCATTTGTAAATAAGTAAATCTCGCGTTGTTTTATCGCAGCATCCGGTTCTGGATCGGTAATAGGAAGAGATCCACTTCCACCTAGAGCAGTTAGTACGTCTCATTTGGCTGAAAGGACTCTGACCCAACCACCAGCTGTGGAATCAACCTTATCATCGACTTTACCATTACCACGAAGCACCGCTAATCATCGTCAACAGCATCAACATTTTCCTATACGTCAGTCGAGTCCACAAGAGAAGCAACAGGACCAACAGCAAACGCTACAACGACTGCCAACCACCACCGAATCGCTAATTTTACGAGCATCCAGTAACGGAGATATCGGAACGAGTATAGCACAGTGTGTATTATTTCTTATCGAAGGTAGTAATAGTTTTTCAACCGAAAATTACATTGAAAATTGTTCAAGTTCTATTAATAAGTGTCATTCTGTAAGACAAATTCTCAATTCAGTTTCTTTTATTAGACCATACAAATTGAAATTGATTGTGATCATTTAATCGGTATCAAAACTCGACGTTTGATTGGTAGAACGATTGACGTAACGATTGACATAACGATTGCTAATTGGCCCGATTATCGGCGTTATCGATATACCCATTCGCGAATCCTCCAATCTAAATTGAGATTTTAATGAAATTCCTATCAAACTAGGAACGTACTCTAATGACAAAGTAATCAATTGGAAAGATATTTTTTGTTGGAATATAAATCATTTGATTAACGAATTTGTCATTGTTTTTCAGAACTAACAACAATGAGATGAAGAATTTGAAACTGTTATCATCAAATAATCATCCAACTCAAAGGTTACACTCGTCTAGCGGACATTTGAGAGTAATTGATTTGACCGAGCATAGAATTTCGAGTCCAAGCGATAATGAAATTCAAGTTCACAGTCCAAGTAAGCTTAAAAGTTTATTGACGAATCATATAAACGTTTCTTATAATCGATTCGTTATTTTTTTGTTAGATCGAAGGGTTTCTTTTTAGTTATTAGAAACTTTCTCCATCTGAACCTCGTAGCTTTTTTTCATTTCTTTCTTTCTCTTTAACTGGACAGCATCCATCAAACTGGTATCGACGAGTTCTCGTGGAAATGACTTTAATTAAAGAGAAAGCCGTTTTCATCTTCTCGAGTCATTCACGTTCGCATTTTCTTGACATTTCTTTCCTTGCCATCAAAACTATTAGCAGATTTTCTCTCTTCGGCACGGTTTACGCGGCCTTTCTAAATCGGCAAGTCATTCGAATGCCACTGGCACGATGTCAGATTTTATTTCTTTTCTCGTTTAACCCTTTCAATACGAACCGTGACACTTCGAAAATCCACGCATAACGCGTACGAATAGTTTTCTAAGCTTTAAATAAAAATAACTTTGCTTAATAAAACACAAAGTTAAATAATATCCGATACTTTCGTACACACAGTTAGATGCCGTATATATCCGGCACTCATATTAACTATTATTCGTTCTTGTTATCAAATATTATTGGAAACTACGATTTCTAACAAATTAAACTCATATCGTTTGTATAAAAATACACGGGTGTGTGATTACGCATCTAAAAAATTATACTTTTTTGGCGTAACAAAACAAAATAAAAAATAATTAATTTTTAAAAATGATAATAAACACTCACTATTCAATGTTAATATAAAAATTATTATTACATATACCACCATAATATAAATTTAAAGAAGATTTATATCGACTAACTTCATGCTATTAATTTCATGTCACTGTGCGCGCGCATCATTTTTTCCCTAACGCATCAAAAGAAGTATAACTTCAAAAATCTTATTTTCCAGTCGAAAGAAAAGGAATTTGTGCGATTGGTTTAGAAGTGGACCGTGGTGGAAGTGGTGGTAGTGGTAACGAGATTAACGTCAGAGGAAATCAACGTGAACTACTTCACAAAAGGGTGAGTTTATTTGCTAAAGTTGAAATTTGTTTAGAGCTAGAAATACAAAAAAAAAAACGTTCGATTTTTATTGGCATGGCAGCAGAGCATGGAAAGATTCCAGAATAAACGTAAAAACGCATTCTTCATCATCGACATGCCCTGAACACACCCCAAATACACCCACATAGACGTAACTCCTTCTATTCCTTTTTTGTTCTCTCTCAGCACTCTATCTCTCTCTCTTTTCTCTCTCTCTCTCTCTTCGATCGAGTGTAACCTCCTGCATTACCGTCCGAGCATGTAAATTTCATTAGTTCAATTATCGCATACGCATACGTTACATTGCGTGATTCCAAATGAATATCGTATGTTCACGTACCTCCTAATAGAAAATTGATCACGCGTTAATATTCTCGTAGAAAGTGTCATAAATAATGCAAGGATTTCTCCGACAAATTCTCTCACTTTGACAAAAATCATCCCCCCGAAAAGTGCATTACGTGTACTTTTGAAAAAATTGTAATTAACGAACGTTCAATGGATTTCGCATAGCAAAGAAAAATCAGATACACCTGTATAAATATATTCATATTCATAGAACCCTGAATCATATATGTATAGACATAGATATTTCGTATGCAACGTTATTCACTTTCACGAATGATCCATGAGATGAAAAAAAAAAGAACAAAAAAGAAATGAAACACCGAGCATGCACTGATATCTACATCTCGCACGCACGAAATAGACAAAATGAATGACAAATAGAATCGAATCGCACGTTGTTCATTCTCTTATTCACTTCCTATGATCTTTACAAAAAAACAAAAAAGAGAAAAAGCAAATAAATGCATTAGTTTATAAGGAATAAACAAAATTCGTACATAGAAAAATAAAAAGAGGATTCTAAGGACCAATTGTAAGACAAAGGATGGAATTACTTCTCGTCCTATTTTCTCTCTCTCTATCTTATTATAAACAAAACGAAAAAGAAGAAAAAAAAGCTGAAGAAAATCAAGTCCCCCCTCCCCCAACAACGAGTATCTTCGGCCCTGCATACGGTTAGGATTGGTCAGCAAGGGCATCGTGCCAAGGACCCGTACCTACGGGTGAACCTTAAGATGCGTTCACAAGGATCCAAATATTATTTGATAAACCCGATGGAAAAAGAAGAAGAAGAAGAAGAAGATGAAGCTACGTCGAAGGGGAAATGCGATAAGGATCTCGCACTACTGCATTTCTCTTTTATTTTTGTTTCTTTTGAATCAACTTCTCAAACAAGGGATCTGATCAAATTGAAAAAGTATAGTTGGAATAAACAAACGAATGCATAAAACGAATCTTATACAGGATTGATCGATATGAATGATCGAAACAAATGTTGAAATTATTTTAATATCCGGCACGCAAATAATCGGATAGATGCCGGATATATCCGGCATGGTAAAAAGAAAGTATAATCATTGAAAGAATGTATACTAATTTAGTAACCAAAATAATATAAGAATAATCGTAGAATCGAGAGTGAATTTATGGTATTTGATTTTTTTTCGGTCGAGTGCGGCCATGACAAACGCGAGGTCGAAATGATCTGCAAAAAGTAGAAAAAGGAAAGGGTTCCCGAGGTTGAAACGCGCGAATGGTACAATGGTCAGATTAAAAGGTACTCCAAACTGTTTTCGAAGGAATGCAATCCTGTTGAAATGAATCATATTAATTTTCGGTCAAATAAATTTGTCTAATAATTTATGGGATTCTCGGGTATAGGAAAAAATTGGTGAAAGATTGGAAAAAAAGTGTGAGAGAAATAGGGAGAGAGGGAGAGAGAGAGATAGGATGATAGTGGGGATAAGGATTCCGTTTACGTAGTAGATTGTACCATGGTAAAGTTGGCGAAGGGAGTCGAGTCGAGTCGAGTCGAGTAACCGATCAGAGAACGGGCACGACGCCAGTCTCTGTTCCTTCCCAAAGGTTTCCAACCTTTCAACTGGTTGTTAGTCGAGTTCTCTCGTGAATATTATTCCCGTAGTCGTCGTCGGTTGCAATGAGGGCTACCTTTCTATCCCGCTGAACTAGAAATCCGTGAGTAGTTTGTGCAAAAAAACAAACATTAGATCTAGCTAATACTTTGCGTGCATTTACAACAATTTACAATTTGTGCTTTGCGTTGTTTGATTTTAATGTTCGATGTTGTTTCTAAATTGATTTTGGATATGCCTGAAACTAAGGGGACCAACCAATCTGTGAATTCGTTATTCCAAACGATTTAGTGTTTCATTTTCATAAAAGAAGAATATTTCGCGATCGGTTGAGAGACACTGCAACGAAACGACGCTCCAAGTCGAATAACCGCGATCGAAAAGAAACACTGATAGAGGAGGACCAGTGTTCGAACGATATATTATATTATTTTCATTTCTTCCTTCGACAAATGCCATAAGTTTAACGCGTCAACCAATTGGTACGATATTATCACATTGAAAAATTCCTTATTGTTAATTAAATAATTGATCTTTGCGATCGATGAAAGATCTCAACAAATGAAGCAGCCCTCTTTCTTTTCTCTGACACTGACGAAATCCTCGACCTTAAAAAAACACCCAACAAACGAATAATCTTCTCTCACAGACCGTGCCAATAAAATTCGACTAGCCAGGAGACGCAGGGTTTTCTTTTTTTTTTTTACGTAAAGACAATTGCATGTCTTTCTCGATTAGGGCAACGTTAGAAGAATAGTTAGTGGTTCACCGACAGCAACAGCAACACCAGCAGCAGGTAGAGCAACGTCAACAGCAACGTCTACGTCAACGTCAACGTCAACACCAACGACCACGCCAACACCAACGCCAACACCAACTCCAACGTTGACCCCAACCCTAACACCCACGCAAATTGGAACAAACGATCTCGTTCGGGTATCCGCTGGCGAACTTCTCGGAAGGACACACGAGGAACTGGTTTTATTGCTTATTCAGCTGCGTAGACAAAACGCCACTCTTCTCAAGGCCATGGACAATTGTCACATGGAAATTGAGGCTCAGGTCCGATAAAAAGATTCACTTTTATTATTGAACTTATAATAAAAGTTCATTTGCTGAGGTCTTTCATGTTACATATGCTTTCAGTATTGTTCTTCTATTTTTCTCGTTATACGAATCTGGTTTCGATGATCGTTCGATGTTACCATAAATCCTATAAGCTATATACTTTTCTTTCCATTCGGCCTTATATTGCTTCACAGCTTCTCATCTTTCTGGATAAAGATTATGTACTTGGTTGTTTTGTTGGAAGGATATACGATCGTATTTCAATGTCGGCCTTGGAAACGTCAGAACGGCAGTTTACTCTTGACCGTCGTTGAGACGCATAGGCTTTCCAATTTGCGAAGAAACGAGCTTTGTATTTAGCAATGATAAACGCAACGATCTTCCAGTCAAAACATTTTGTAAAACGATAATATAGTTAGACGAGTTCTTATTTTCTTGACCGTAGGCGAGATTGGCTGAATTGGACACGCCAAGGCGTCTGGAAAATCTTCAAAAACTCGAAGAGTTAAAGAAACACCTGATGGATCTTGAAAAGCAGGTACGATCGAAACCAAATGTTTTCCTGAATTCCTTTCATTTTCTCACGAGCTAATAAAGTCTTGATCGTTGATTGATTTTGATTTAATGTTCAGTACGAGAAAGGAAAACCTTTGGTAAACCTAGTCGACAACATGGTCAAGCTTGGATCATTGTACAATCGCAATACTGCAAACGAAACTAACAACGTGACTACTTCTCATAACGATTTATTCAAAGAGAACGCGAAAAATCATCGGGATCGTTTGGAATTTAATCAGAGATTACAAGAACAACGTTTGCTTGCTGAAGAACGCAGAGATTGGAATAGACTCAGTCCGGATCATGGACAATTGCAGGTAATCAACACGATTTTCCACCTGATCGATCAACCGAATAATTCAAAGCCTAACCAATGAGTTTCTAAACTAAATAACTCTTAAATATTAGTTTGAGTTAATTGTTGCACTGAAAGGTTGAACGTACGTTTGATATTATTTTGTCGTGTTGTAGGCAAAGGTACAACAGTTATACAAACTTGACCGATTACTTCAAGAAGAATCAGGTACCCTTCATAGTCTTCAGCAAGACAAGGTTCGTAATAATAATATTCATTGTTAAAACTTAACAAATGAAATAACATTAATGATATTTATTTAAAACTTCCTGTAAACTTTACGATCCCTATTATATAGGAAATTCTGGAAAAAGCTCTGGGAGGTTTGCGACACAAATTGCAAGGCAGCAGAAGTAACTTGATCGAAGCGGAACGTTACAGAAAGCAACAGCTTTTATTGGAACGCGAATTGAGCAGAGTCAGAGTATTGTTGGCGCACAATTCTAAGGTAAAAATATTAGGGAAAGTGTCGATTGGTTCTGTGATCGGATTTGGGAGAGTTTCGATGATCAAACTTCAGCTTTTTTTCTATGGGATTCGTTAAAACCTAATCGAATGATTCGTTTGTTTGAGAATCAAATCGTGACACGCGTATGTAGAACTGGGACGAGTTTATTTAAACGATTAAACGTTGGATTCGTTGTTTTCAGGTAAAACCGGTATTACCAAGTCAGGTAAATGAAATATTTTCAAAAGCAATACGTTTGAGTTACTTTGAATCGTATCATCTTTAATAATTTCAGCCTCGCGTCCTTTTGATCATCGTTTTTATCGTTATCGTTGTTGTTGTCGTTGTTGTTGCATCTACATGCGTTGTTCATTCTTCTTTCTCTTTCATGTTTGCTCTTTTTACTTTTTATTTTCTTCTTTCATACTTATCACCCACACAAAGAGACATTTTCCATTCGATTTTTCAGAAATTGGAAGAAACAGTAGCGGAGAATGCAAGACTGGAACAAGATTTGGTAGTGTTAAGGCAAAAATTGCAAGCTTCCAGAAGATACGCTGGTAATATAACGAGAGATGCATCATCGGGTACGACTGCACCATTGGAAACGGAATTGAGAAGAGTTCAACAATTGGTTGGCGATCTTCAAAGGCAAAGAAAAGAGCTAAGTGTTCAAGTTCAACAACTCACTGAAAAGTCTCATAGTTTGGTACAGCAAATTCGACCACAGTCGTCTCCAGGTACCAACACTTTCCAACTAAGTTCTGCTGTTTCAATTGAGTTGTCTGTTTGATCGTATTAAATTGTAATCAAACAATTTCCAGCTCCGCCAGTTCATCATTCGAAGAAACGCACTCAGAATTCTTGGTTGGAGACTGATTTAGATTCTGGGATCACTCTTGATCATGGCCTTGGTTCACCAGCTAGTCCATCATTGTTATCCTCGACACATGGGAAACAAAATTTGGAAAGTCCTTATCGTCGTTACGCGTCACCAACGCAACACAAGAAATCATCTTCGCCAAATCGTCAACACGTCGAACAACAACCTACTGTACAAAATTCGCATAATCATATATCGTCTTTGTCGCCGCAATTACGGGAACAAATTCAGCAACATCAATTGAAGCAACAATTGTTGAAAGATCAAATGCAGGGAAAGGGTAGTTTGATGCAGATCAATGTTTCCCCTTTGTACGTCAATACCGAGTCCAGAATGCAAGGTAAATACTATAGAAATTCTATTATATAATTGTATTATTATAACATAGAAACGTTTATTCAATCTGTCCCTTTAACTCATGCAGATACTAACAAAAGCAACGATAGCATTACGAGCCAAACAAATGGTGGACCTAACCTCCCACCGGAATACGTTCCACCACCTCCACTTCATCCTCTTAACGAAGAAACTTCTTTGACGAACGATAATTACAGACAAAATGAAGATAATAAATTTGCAGGTAAGTTTATTTAAAACAGTTACGAAAGCACCGGTTCAATCTATTCATTAATATTAATCATATCCCTAGGTTTGTTGCACAATCGAGAAAAGCAAGAAATAAAAACGGTCAGAATCGTTAAACGGGAATCCGAGAGACGTCAAAGAGATCGAGGTGATAGAAATGGTAATATCGGGATTCCATTAACGAACGGAGGACTTCAGGCACCTGGTGGAGCAAAAAGATTGTCCGACGATGACATAGCTGGTTCCCAGAAATTCGAAGTAAGACGATTGAAATCAGATGACAAGACTTATTTCGCTAATATAATACTTGTAATACTCGTCATTTGTAGAAAGCCCAATTGGGTAAAGTCGTTGAAGAAGTACCAATTGTTCATGCTCAAAGTACCGTACATTTGACCGAGCTTGACGACATACAATTCCAAAGAAGCATGTCTCTTCCTCGAGGATTTGGTGGTCAACGACATCAACCTGGTGTTCATCATATTCCCGTTGCTCCACCACCCCGCAGCGATAGCATGCACGCTCTTAAAACTATCATGATGCGAAGACACAAGGTCAAGGTAAATTTACTTGGAGCCCCGGATCTAACCTTTGTCCTAATCCGATTCACCCTAATCAATATCTTGGTCATCCGTATACGTATTTTAGTTTCGTTTGGTTTTCTTTTCGTAAATCCATTTTAGGTTTTTTATTTCTCTTTACCTTACGTTCGTTCTGTTTCTGATTATGCTCGCTGCAGTTTGAAAATTACGACGGAAGCTCCGATAGCACGTTATCACCGCACCTCGATAGTCCTACGTCGAGTACGCAGTTGCCAATTAGTTTGCCAAACTACTCGAGCTCGCCTTATAATAATCCAAGTCATCAGAATTATTATTCTGGACAAACTGCGAGAGGATCGAATCAACAACAACAACAACAACGATACTATTCGCCACACCTGCAATACGAAAATTCAACGTTAATTGCGAAGAGTTCGCTAGCACTGAGTCCGGAACCGGTGTCACCCAATAACGGTGGTGACGTACCTTTAGACAGGCCGACATTAGGGTCGATAGTTAATGCTAACAGCAAATCGGAATCACCCCAATTGTCTCCAGTGTTTAAAAGCGAAGCTGCCAAGCAGATTATCAAAGAAATGACCGAGAGAAAAGTCGACGGTCCTAGAAGAAGACAGGTTCCTAAAGAAAAGAGAAGACACTACACCGTTTCTAGTAGCAAACCCGTTCTAGATCTCGAGGACAACTTCTCCAGGATGGTACACCAATACGTTTATTTTATTTCTTATTTCATTAAATTTCGTCTTCCTTTTACTAAGCTTTATCGCTCCATCCGATTCCGCTAGCCTTCTATCTCACGCTTATTCATTTATTTCCTTTATTAAATCACCTAAAGAGTAGTTTAGTTTAACACGTTCCGTTGCCACGTGTACCACCGGTGGTACACGCAGTCATATTTATTTAATGTGCAAAATATCAAATGGTCTGAACGACGACAAGTCAGACAAAAATGGCTTGGCGCGGAACGTGTTAAGTTAAATCAATTGGATAATCTTATTTTATGATATTGTCAGGGTATGGGTAGAGCAAGAGACGACTTGGACATGGAACAAGCTCTCAGACCTAGAATCAATGCTCCGGATGTCGTGAGATCGACTTTAAGTCATAAAGAATTGAAATATAACGAGAGTACCATCGATCAATTGTTGGGTACACCAAATAAGATTGTCATTCCTGAACGTTATATTCCCGAGCAGGTAAATTCAACGAATATCCATTAACTTTTCAGAAAGACGTGAATTCATATATAGATAACTGTTTGTAATATTTTAGACCCCAGAATTAACGGCAGAAGAACAAGAGCAACGTTTGAAGAAAGCAGATGCTATCAGAAAGATGCTTTCCGAAACAACTGTCACTGCACCCGAGGGAACTGGTAATAACGAATATACTTTTATTGTATCAATTATTGATTCGTTTGTAACGTTCGAATAACATATCGTTTCGATCTTTCCAGACGACGACGTAAATCACGATAAACCTGACACGTTGAAAAGAAAAGTAGTCGAGGAGAAACGACAGAGAGAACACATTCTTCAGCTGAATCAAATTCTTGCTAAACAAGTCATGGAGAAGAGTAAAATGGTAGCCGGTACGTCGGCGTAAATGAATTTTCGATTGTTTCAAACAATTCTAACGATCTTTATTAGAGACAATCTTGCATGGTCTCGATCATCTTTTCTTTTTTTTCTGTTCATTTCTTTAGACCAGCCGTGTGATTACAGCATGAACGCGATACTAGGCTTCTTTTTTTTGTTTAATCCAATTATTTCGTTTACAAGAATTTTCTCTAACTCCCCCCCCTGCCCTCTGATCCGTCGATCACTTTATATATATTTATTATGGTGAATTCAAAGTTCCTATGTTTTTAAATTTAATTAGTAATTTTATTGACTTAAAACAACATACTTTTGATTCACCCTAATATATTTTCCATGCGAATAACATTATTCATTCACGAAATATATATATGCGTTACCATGAAAGACCGAAATTGGATAATTTCAAGATTCCCATGGTGCTTGTCAACACACACCAAATAAGTGGCAATTTGTATATCTCATTTTAAAAAAATGTTTAATTCCTGTAGGAGAAAAAATGGAATCAAGTATTCAGAACTTTTCGGTAGACCTAATCGGACATGTACCAAATAATTATGCGAATCTTGATTTTTCACGGTAACATATGTACCAACTCGCATGGTTTACCATTATTCTCTGATATATTCATACTATACTTAACCCTTTGGCTACATTTGACTTCTCAAAACTTCATGCATTTGTTTGAGCAAAGATGCACATAATGCATATCTTGCATAAAATCTATTGCTTTTACACTTGCCTGCAAAAAAAAATGAAATGTGCTCCAAATGGTAAATGAAATATTTTCAAATAAATGTGTATATACCCAAAGGGGTTAAAATAAGTTAAATGCATAGCCAAAGAGTTAAAAATAAGTTAAATGTGTACCCAAAAATTGAAAATAAGTTAATTGAGAGTCTTAAAATTAGTATTTGTTCTTCTTCTTGTATTATATTTGAAGTTGACTTTATTTTAAATTTCTTTTTTCCTCTATTTGTTGTCATTAATTTTGTTAAAAATACGTAGCGAGTGTTGTTTGGATTGTTTGTGGTGTGTGTAGGTAACCAGGCGCACTGACAGACATGCTTTCTCGATTCTCCCACGTAGGACACACGCACTCCTTCTTCACGTTTATCGTTTTTCAGGTTTGTTCATTTTTTTTTATCCTTCCACCCCACTCTCTTTCTCATCGTTTTGATTTTTCTTCGTTTTTTTTTCGTTTCTTTTCCCTTTCATTTTGAATCATTTCGTTTTAACAGCTTATTTACGTCGTCGATCATTCGTTGCTTCGAAATAATGATGATCGTACTTCTCTCACCGATGAGATACACTGACCGGATCTTTTTATCGTCGACAGTCAAAGCATTGGCTACACTTCCATTGAAGACTGAATCGAGCATGGACGAAGAAGATCTATCACCTGTGACACCGTTGCCATTGTATCAACAAAGGGAAAATTATTATTCATAAATTTAATCACACATTCGGATTATTCCAATTGAAAAGGACAAACGCTGGATCATTTTTTTTAAACAAAGGGAAGAAAGAAGAAGAAAAACAAAAGCACAATCAATAAATTACTGCCAAATGCGACCCGACCGAGAAGAACAAAAAACAAACAAAAACCCAAGGGGAAGAAATATATATATCGGAAATTAAATAAAAAATAAAATATATAAATACGCGCGAGGGGGGGGGTGTGGGTGAGGACAGAAAAATAATCGACGATCGAATTAAATGTCCTCGATTTCTTTTTATCTTTTCATTAATTTATTACTTCGATTTTGAATATTGTGTATAGGAAGAAAACAACAACAACAAAAAACACCATTGATATCCTATGTAATTTAGAATATTGATATGGGACCGCGACGAAATTAATAAACGATGGCAGTTAATAAATCTAATAATTAAACAAATGCATTATATAGAAAAATTGTAGCAATAATCTCTTAGATATATATTAAGATACAATAATCGCACAGCATTAAGTGGTATTGTAATTGAAAATATATACAGCAGTTGCCATAAAAATACATATTAAATAATATAATATATTACAAATTTCGCATAGGATCCTTCGAAGAGAGAGGGGAGAAAATAAAAATGAATTTGATTACGTTAATATACGTTATCGAATTGAATTTTTGTTGATCTGCGACAGGACGTTTAGCATAAAAAATAAAAAGCCTAAATAAACGAAAGAAACGGGGTGCCAAAAATTAGGGCGATTGAAGAAAGAACGCGGGGTGCTACGAGACTATTGTCAATTACAAATAAATCGTAATTGCGTTAACGCATAAACGCGAATAAATCATCATTCGAATAATACAAATGAAAACAAACAAAAATATGAAAAATCAACTTCTCGAGCCTTCCTCTACCAAGGTTTTTTTATAAGCGCATTATTGTAATAATATAAATATATAAACACACACACTTATACACCCTCTCTTTGTATAGGAAGGTGTGTATTATTATTATTATATGACTGTACATAAAGTTATTAGATAGGCAAGTAAGCGAGTACATAGGAAGAATGTATAATAAATAAAAAAGAGGGAAGGGAGGGTCCCCCTTCTAAAGTACGGTCCTAAATTTAGAAAAAAAAAATGATGTTCCTTCGTCGAGATAAACTGACGAACATTCGCACTTTTAATTATTAATTAATAATTATATTAAATCAATGTGAGAATGGGGGTGCGCGTCTTACGTACGATATAAATATTTACACGTAAAAATTGTGTTAGCCTAAAAAATTCTTATTGGCGGGCTCTTCTCACCCTTCGATGAGAAATATAGTCATACTCATTGCGTTTATAAAACGCGGTTAAATATTATAAACAGCGAATAAATCTAATAATAATTTAACGTTGACCTCAAAGGAAACACACAAATCACTGTTATTGTTATATCGGATGAAATAAAATTAATACAATTAACAACTTTATCGATTTACTCGATAACAATCTTATCATTTATTCCAATAATAAAGATAAGTATGCCCAAGATAAGATTGGCCAATTCGATCAATTCAATAAAATTGAATAATCGCGATCTGATATAAATCATTATTTTGCAAATATTTAAGCGTATATAAAGATCTGTATTTGATATAATCAATTGAAAATGATCCCAAACGATAGGATCTTCATCGAGAAACTAGAAAAAGAAAGAGTGGAAAAAACGTTCGACCGAAAAATAAAATACCCTTGGATTGAAACTGGAATTCTCGTCGTTAAATGAGAATGCTGATGAAAGTTTCCTACACTTTCCTCCCCTCCCCACACCACCACCCGGTAGAATAATAAAAAGACCAGAGTCAAAATAAGAAATAACTTGAAAAGATATATCCTTTTTTTTTTAGCTTGTGTAGAATTTCGAGTCATTGTTTACATGCTCGATTAGGGAGGGGGGGGGAGAGAGGAGGAACAACTTAAAGACCAGTTTAGAATAATATTTTATCTTTATCAAAAATCAATTCAACTTGTAACTTTGCCAACCCTTTCGAAAAAATGTCACAAATAACTCGACATTCATTTGTTTATTTTTCAAGATTTTCTGCTCTTCCCCCATATTTTTTTCCTCCTAGCTATTAGCTTACTCTATGAATCGTGCACACAAATACATGTGTACACAAGTAAGTAAATAATTTTAATGATGCACGCGTTAGAGTCATCATCTTTTTTTGATAAATAAAATCATTAATATACATATAATGGAAAATATGATCTTGCTCGTTTACTATACCGAGTACGAAACGGAAGAGGAAGACAAATAGCAATCAAAGGAGTACACAGCAAAGTTACATTAGCAAAATGACAGAGAAAAAGAAAAGAAAAGAAAAGAAAAAGAAAAAGAAAAAAAGATCGAAGGACGGACTATGAGGGGATCTCGCATTGAACGAATGAATTCGTGAGTGAGTCTCATCGTTGTCAACGTTGACAACAACTGGGAGAGGCAGAGGTTCGACGAACTAGCCAATCGTGGGAGCCCGTGTACCTGAATTCTAATGAGGCCCACCTGGGTATATATGAGCTGTTAGCCACGGTTTCGAGCACGATTTTTCTTCGGCCGGTGTCCGGTCACCACAAAGGTGAGTCTTTTCGCTATTTTATTCTTCTACCGATCTATCGGATTCTGGCCTTCGTTTATCTATCCTCTTTTCTTTCTTTTTATTTCTTCTCTTTTGTTTCTTCATTTTTACGATCAATACAAAAAAACACACACACACATTCTCATCGAAATAACATTCCTCTACTTAAGCCAATGCGCTTTAAGAAAGTTGCCGGGTCTGGTAACATCGAAAATGCATACAAACAACATTCTATGATATTGTATGCAAATTGATAGTAAACGTTGATCATTGAAATGAAATATCTTTTATTACCTATCTAATTATATCCAGATAAATCTATCTGACACTTTTCGAATCAATTTATAAAATAATCATTGGATTATTAAACTGTCGTGTGAAATCTTTCTTGAATTTCGAATATTTTCCGCGGGTATTTGGAAAATCGGTTTACGAGAGATCAGAATTTCTGCGATGACGATGACGATGAAGATGATGATGATGATAATGATGATAGTGGTACTTTCCACTCCCATATTTTCTACCTTTTCTTTTTCTTTCTTTTGTTTTCTTCTTTTCATTCCGAAGGAACTGGTCGGATGAGACAAGTTAGGATGTTGCGTTCCTGTTGCTAATTTTTATCAATAACTTTGCCAACCAATCGCGTCGCAAGTATCCTTGCGTGTGTAAAAAGAAAATGAAAAAATAACGCTTAAATTAATTGGAATTTAATCGAAACCGATCAGGGAAACCCTGACACAACCTATCATCTCGTTCGTTCGTTCGTTCTTCTTATTATTATTTTTGTATTCAACGGTATAGCAAACAGTGAGTAGGATGCATCCCGCATTTTAATTTCCCCGTACACATAAGTGCACAGATGGAAATCTCAAGCTCGTATTTGCTTTGATAGATCGGCTCAATCCTATCGAATGAACTATAAAGAGAAAAAGAATTATGAAGGATACAAGATCTCTACGAGGACGATGACTCACGAATTTTTATATGCACCGAACAATCTTCGATTAAATCTCTACATCTATATATATATATTCATCTTTCTTGTATGAAAACTATTTTGGTATTCTAATCGAAATAAAAAGAAACAGATAATATTTATCTTTCGATTGGTCGATGGTACGTTAACCTCGGATTAAATTAAAATTAGTTTCGAAATATTAGAGTGAACCAAAATTTCGCATTCTTTCGGTTAATGCAATTTTGTAGTTTGCAAATCAATCAAATTATTATACTTTATATGAACTTGTTGGTACGAACCTTTTTGGTTCACCCTAATATCATATCAGTCTTTCATTTCAAAGTTGTTTTTGTATACGAGGCCGTGTATCCTTACCAACCCTAACCGGTCGTGAGTAACTCGGATAAACCCCGAGAGATAACTTGCCCCCCACAGAATTTTCTACTGAACCAACCAGTCGTGTTTCACTTACATTAATCAAGCAAGATTTATCGTAACCGCGAATCATTCGCGTTCGAACATCGTTCAAGAAACGTTTACTATACCTGTGTATAGTAGCCTAGTGTTTCAAAGCTTACAATTAATGAAATTGAACCTAGTGGTAACGTACAAGATTTTCTATAATAAATGAACAATACTTCATTATTATGAAATTGCATTTCATCGATCATTAAACATAAATTTGTTTGTCTACAGCATTGAGAAAATGAAGTTCTCCGTTATGAAACTGTTGTTCTCCCTTCCCCTTCTGTTCGCGTATTTGGCGTACACATCAGCCGGTGAGTATTTTCGATGAAACGTTCTAGATAAGATAAAAGCTTTCCAGTAAAATTTGAAAAAAAAAAAAAAAAAAAAGAAATAAGAAAGAATGATAATCGCGTATGAAATCTTGAATTATCTCTCTCTCTCTCTCTCTCTTTCTCTCTCTGTGTGTATCAGATCAGAACGCAAGAGTTGTCTGTTACTTCAGCAACTGGGCGATTTATCGGCCTGGCGTTGGTAGTTATGGCATCAACGACATACCTGCAGAATTATGCACACACGTGATATATTCCTTCATCGGTGTGAGCAATGTCACCTGGGAAGTACTCGTCTTGGACGAGGAACTCGATGTTCAAAAGGGTGGCTTCAAAAACTTCACCCAACTCAGACTGAAGTATCCTCATCTTAAAACTGAAGTCGCGGTTGGTGGTTGGGGAGAGGGTGGTAAGAAGTATAGCAACCTCGTTACGGTGAAACAACGCAGAGATACTTTTATCAAAAGCGTCGTTGGTAAGTTTCCACCTTCTCTTTTAAACAACAATTACGATACCCTCATTTCTTTCTATTTTCTTCATTGTTTCTTAATAATTGTTACAGAATTCATGTACAAATATGGGTTCGATGGTTTCGATCTCGATTGGGAATACCCAGGTGCCTCAGACAGGGGTGGCAAGTTTTCCGATAAGAACAATTTCTTCTACTTCGTTGAAGAACTCAGGCGTGCATTCGATAAAGAAGGTAAAGGCTGGGAAATTACGATGGCCGTACCCATGGCTAAGTTCCGTCTCGACGAAGGTTACCACGTTCCCGAATTTTGCCAGTGAGTATTTCCCCTAATCGTTTAACTTAATTCGCGTGACCTTTTATTTTTATCCACTTCGTTTATCATTTTATTTAGGAATTTAGACGCGATTCATGTTATGTCTTACGATCTTCGTGGAAACTGGGCTGGGTTTGCTGATGTTCACAGTCCACTTTACAAAAGACCCCATGACAGTTATGCTTATGAAAAGCTTAATGTGGTAAGTATACTTTGAGAGCACCAAGTAAATATTCTTATATTTTTAAAATACCTTTTATTCCTTTAGCACGATGGTCTATTACTTTGGGAAGACAAAGGGTGTCCAGCCAATAAATTGGTCGTCGGTATACCTTTCTATGGTCGTACGTTCACCCTTGCACGTGGTAACACCAATTACAATCCAGGAACCTACATAAACAAGGAAGCAGGTGGTGGTGATCCTGGTCCGTACACACAGGCTAGGGGATTCTTGGCATATTATGAGGTCATTTTTCATCATATAATACCATTTCACACGATCAATAATCTTGTCAAGCGATTCTGATTAGAGAAAATAATATCTATATCGAATTTATTTAGATCTGCACAGAAGTCAACAATCCGAATTCCGGCTGGACTAAGAAATACGATTCCATTGGCAAAGTACCTTATACTTACAAAGGTAAATTTATTTTTAGAAAAGATACTCAATCGTAATGATAAGCGAATTTCGTGCCACTCTAAAATATTATTAATATAAAAAACTTGTTGTGTCTTTATTCAGAAACACAGTGGGTTGGTTACGAAGATCCTGACAGTGTTAAAATCAAAACTGATTTTATCAAAGAAAACAGCTATGCCGGTGCTATGATTTGGGCTATCGATATGGACGACTTTAATGGTCTCTGCGGAGAAAAGAATCCTCTCATAAAAGTCATTCACGATGGCTTGAAAGATTACAAAGTACCTAAAAAAGAACATCAAACTACACTTACGGTAAATAATTAATTGTCAATTAATTAAATACATATAGGACGTTAGATATTGAATATCGGGGTTTTATTTTCTGTCCAGCCGGAATGGGCAAGGCCGCCAAGTACAACATCTTCCCCGAATAAACCTGAGACGACGAGGGATACCGAGGAAACGACTAGGCCAACTGTACCAACTGTACCAACGGTAAAACCAAGTTCCTCCACTTCCAAACCACCATCACCACCTGTTGATGACGACGAGAAAGTTGTTTGCGAAGGCGAAGAATATCTTCCTTCGAAAAATTGTACCGTGGTACGTATTCATTATCTCTTACATTTATCAATTTCATCTAAATCATTTTATCAAGAAAAACAAAATAGATAAATTCATGAAAAATAATTTTATCGTATTTAATTGGAAATTACAGATTTGTATAATAGATTTAGATTTATTGGAATTAATGTGAAAACAACACGTACGAGGAATTATTTTTCAAAATGGCGCCTGCATTTTAATCGACCATTTTCTTCTTTCTCCCTTTATTTTAATTACTTTCTAAGCAATTATACTTCAGTCCCTATACTTTGTCCTTCATATTCTAATATTATGTTATTTCTTTTTTATCTGCTATATATATTATGAATATTTGTTGATTTTAGTACTACCGATGCGTTTTTGGAGTTCCTCGAAAGTACCAATGCCCAGATGGTCTGGTCTACGACACTAATATGCATGTTTGCGTTTGGCCTGAAACTGCCGACCGAGAGGAATGCAGAACTAAATGAAAAAATCAACGATATCGTGCTACAAACATGAACAACAAGTTTTATATATCTTTAATATAGAAGAAGAAGATGGAAGTGGGAATAATGTAATAAATTGTATACCAGTATCTCATCCTATCTCCTCATCGAAATTATCTTGAAGCATTCATTGGTACTACATATTATAACTATGCTGATAACCAAATTAAAATGATTCAATTTCTCGTTAAGATATTTCTGTGATTCTGCAGAAAGAAGAAAACAAATCTTCAAGTTATCTCTTTTATATATCGATCAATAGACTTTCTATTCAATCAATATTAAAACTTCACACAAGCAACCATCTTGAATAAAGATTTTTTATTGAATTTGATCTCTAATTTGAATGACCTCGAAAAATATACGCCACGTCGCATCTATATATTAGAAACAGAAGATCTCGGAGTAAACACTTATGTTGCTAACTTCAAGTTATTTTCCCCCACACTTTCTTTAATTCGATAACAAAAATGGCGCACACAATATCGAGATCGAGACTTGTAGTACTGTTCGCATTAAAGTATACTAATCGAATAAAATCGCGTAATTTAATACCCCTTAAATATCAACGATTATGTTTCCACACAAATTGGATATTGGAGGGTATGCTATTTATATAGAAATATGAAATTGATACTATATTTATAAGGAGGTTAAGTTTTTTATGAGATTATATCCTTCATTAAACCCTTTAATAAATTAATTCTCATCAATCAAAACATTATGCTAGGAGAATTTCATTCTATTATATGAACGAGTTGTCTTTAAATGAAATAAATTAAATGAAATATACATTTTTTCTAAATGACACAATTATACAATTCCACAATTATGATTATGCAATCCAATCAGAATTTGATCGTTCAGAATCAGATCAGAACTGTCAGGAAAATACTTAAAAGTATATTTTCTTTCTGACATTACACAGTTAATAATTATTCTTATACTTATAGCGAAAGGGAAAGAATTATTCATGCCTTCGTTATCCCCAACCATGGAAAGTGGGACAATCGTTAAATGGTTAAAGAAAGAAGGTGACAAAATTAATCCCGGAGATGCAATAGCTGATATTCAAACGGATAAAGCAGTGGTTGCTATGGAAGTAGAGGACGAAGTAGTCCTTGCCAAAATTATTGTAAGAACATTTCATTTATTTCTACTATCACACTCCACCTAATACTTTAAGGTAATATTTTCTTATCGTTAGGTACCAGAAGGGACAAAAGATATCAAAGTAGGAACATTGATCGCTCTTACCGTAGATGAAGGCGAGGATTGGAAATCGGTAGAAGCACCTGATACTTCCCCAACACCTTCTACTAAACCTACTACTGCTCCAACACCTTCTGCACCTTCTGTAAGCCAATCGGATGTACCACCACCACCAGGACAGTACGTAAACTGAGATTAAATATAACTGAGATGCATTAATGCGCGAAGAAAGTATAGAATTTTGGAATACATCTCTTTTAGACAAAATGTTTCTATGCCTGCACTTTCTCCAACCATGACAACTGGTACAATTGTTAAATGGTTAAAGAGAGAAGGCGATGAAATACAACCAGGAGATGCAATAGCCGAGATACAAACTGATAAAGCAGTAATGACTTTTGAAATGGAAGATGAGGCTGTACTTGCCAAGATTTTGGTAAGGAAAATGTTCTTCTTATTTCTATTATAATGTCTCTTTTCTCTAATTACTTACATATTTGATTTTCTGTAATAGGTACCAGAGGGTAGTCAAGTGGAGGTAGGTCAATTAATTGCTGTTACAGTTGAGAAGGGAATGGATTGGACAAAAGCTGTCATTCCACAAACACTTAAGGCTACTACTCCAAGCCCTGCCCCTGCAGTTGCAAAATCCAGCGAAAAGGAACAGTACGTATTACGATTTACTATATTTCCAAGTATAAAGAATAGATCAATTTCTTTGATATGTGTCTATATAAATACATATATCTATGTTTATTATCTTTATAGGGTATATGGATTGGCAGTTAAACGACTGCTACAGGAATACGGTCTAGATGCGAATTTTATTAAGGGTACTGGCCGTCCTAATCGAATTCTAAAAAGTGACGTGCTAGCATACATAGAAACAAATAATATTAAAAAAGTTCAACTTAAAGCTGACACTGGTAAAGATTTTTTCGAATCACCACTTGTTGGAATAGTAATATGTATATGTATCATTTTTCACTGCGATTTATTTTTTATAGTTGCACCACCAAAAGTCGAAAAAGGTAAAAAGGCAGAGCCTATGGTACCGGGTCGTCCATCAGCTTACGAAGATATACCTGTATCGAATATTCGAAGTGTCATAGCTAAACGTCTTGGAGAATCTAAAGTATATATCATGCGAGCATATATTATACTTTGTTTTTTATTTATTAAGTCAATCTTTCATCTATTAAAAAATAAGTCTTTCTTTTCAGTCAAATATACCTCATTCTTATTCGAGTATTGACATCAAAATTGACAAACTGATAGAAATTCGAAAGCAATTAAAAGAGGATGGCATCAATGTATCTGTCAATGATTTCATTACAAAAGCTGTATCTCACGCGCTTGTCGAATGTTCCACAATCAACACCTTGTATACTAATAATAAAGTATGCGAGCACAGTATATTTCATAATGGATCGCAGACGCTTAATTACATTATGCAATAATTTGCATTATTTGCTTTTAGGTCGTGCGTGCTCCAAACATAGATATCTCTATAGCAGTTGCGTCTCCTATGGGTCTAATAACACCAATCGTATTTGATGCACCATCCAAAAGTTTATTAGACATTTCTACGACTATTAGAGAATTAGCTGGAAAGGCAAAAGCTGGGACTTTGAAGCCACAGGAATTTCAAGGAGGATCCTTTACGTAAGAATAAAATAAGGATGAATTTGTGCAAATGTAAATGCTAATATTTGGAGTTATTTTTTCTTTTTCTTTTTTAGAATATCCAATTTAGGAATGTTTGGAATTAAAGAATTTTCCGCCATCATAAATCCTCCGCAAACGGCAATCCTTGCTGTTGGAACAGGACGTCCAGAACTGAGTAAATTTCATGAAAAAGATACAAATTTATTGTCTATTGTCAGCTGATAATAACGGTAACAACAATATTATATATTTGTTTAGGTGATTCTTTGGAAACTGTCACCAAAATGATGGCAACATTATCTTACGATAGACGTGCCATCGCTGAGGATGATGCAGCTGACTTTTTAGCGGTACTCAGAGCTATGTTAGAGAATCCAACTTTTCTTGCTGTTGGAAAAATTCAAGCATTGAGGCATATGAACGATTAAACTTGGTAATAATTAGTTACTAGTCATTTTCACTTGATACGTATATCTATTCTTTATACATATGACTTTGTTTTTCTCAGCAATGTACATATAGTAAGGAGAAACACAATGATAAGATTACATAAATCTTTAGTAGAAGGCAAGTATAAATAAACGAACGATGATATAAATCGATGCCGTCTCGCAACGTCATGTTTTTTAAATTAGTTGGGAAAAATATAATTTCGATGTAGTCTATCGTTACAATACTATCGTCTGATGGTCATGAAAAATATGTACGATATAATCATCGTATAAATGTAATGATAGTCGTATTTACTGCCAAGTAAAGTACAATGATACTTTAAATAAAAACTACATATATGTATATTATCACAAAGACACGAGGTATCAATATTCATTTTTATAAATTCATGAAATTACAGTTTACGCGTTTCTAATTTTATTGTTTCTTTTCCTTTCCAAATCTGTTTAGAATAAAAAAAAACTGACAAACGTAATGATCGTTAATACGTTTACTTTGTGCAATTTTGTACAATTATAAACGCACGTATCGTGTAATAAATTGTTTCTTTTATATGTATATCTACACGGATGCGCGATATCACACTTCCGTTGACAAGATACATGTAGAATCATCGTAGTCATCGGAAATCAATAAAGTAAAGAAAATAATGTTAACATATGAAGATAATAAGAATACCATGAAGATAGCTTTTATCGGTGTACCAAGTGTTTCTTCATCTTTTTGTGTGTATATATATATATATATGTATGTATATATGTATGTATATAAAATATAATGTCAACGCAAATGAATTTTATTTTATCTTTTAAATAAATTATTTATTGTTTAATATTTTTTATTTAATAAGACATATCCTCTCATTTTATTTGTGTAGCTTAAATAATTGTTAACAATAAAACATTTGAAAGAATATGAGGATAGGGAATAAAATGTCGTAATAATTATAATTATAATTTTAAAAATGTGTGGACAATTTTATAATATTTATTTAATTAAAATACATAAACGAACATTGATAAAATTCCATAATGACGCATATATTCATTCATTTAAGGCACAAACTCTGGAGTTCACTATTTTTTTTTAAATTAATTAAATATGACGACACATGAAATAATTAGAAATATGAAATACTAGAGATGAACAACCAAAAGGTAGGATTTTAGATAAACCATTTAGTCATTTATATCCGGCAGCATTCGCGTAAATCTTATAAAAAGAGATTAATGAATAATTGCATGGAATTTTAAATTCAATAGTTTATTACTTATCACAGTCGTGATTTTTTATTGAAGTTTTATGTTTAAAATTCTATCTTATAGTTAGAGAACAATCATTCGTATCATTTTATTATAAAATTGAAACACCCTTATAAATATTGTCGATATGCGTTTACTTATATATACACGATAACGTTATAAAAGTTTTATAAGAATAGAATATATTTGGTTTAGCGATAATATACTCGCCGTAAAATACAAAAATATTTCTCCCGAAAATGTATATTATCAAATCTGAAAAAATTCTATAAAACTAGTCATATGCGTGTGTATAACTTTTCAAAATTACACTCTATGTTAAGCAGTGTGTTGCATTGTACTATTTAATACTCGCAATCAGTTAATAATGCATTCATAAATTGCAATGTTAAGCCAAACATTTCAATTATTTACAGAATGTAACATATTTATTTTAAAATAAAATTCTTTTTCCTCCTGTGTTTTGAAATTTAACACGGAGATGATTAAAAATAATTGCACTTTGCGAAAAAAGTACTGACAATAAAATAGGCACCCACCCATACGTTTGTGCGTTTTTGTGTTTTCTGTTTATTTTTTTTTCTTCACTATTGGAAGTATTCTCAATATAAGTACAATAATTGTTTAATAGTATAAAATAATATGCGTTACCTATGCTTGCAATATATTCAAAAAAATAAACCTTTGCATAAAATACAATGTTACACAAACCGTTTAGGTAGTATAAAATTTACATATCTATATGTACATATACATATGCAGCAAACATCTGTGCGTATACGTAAATACTTAAAATGCAGTAAAAATACAATTATAAAATCGACAATGTTGCCACAGCGTATATGTATGTGTACGTATTTATATTGCACATGAAGTGAACTTTATAGTTTCGTTTCCACCAACAACACATCTGTGTGAAAAAATAAAAATAAAAAGAATATTGGAAACCTTATAAAGAACATATGAAACTCGCTATTAAAACACGTGTATTCTAATTTATAAATCCAATTAGTGGATCTTACTGAAATCCATAATACTGTTGATCGTATTATCATTTTCGAGAAAGCTTAGTGAATTCGTGGTATGTGAAGAAAATGTCAACAGTAATGGCAAATGATAAAGTATCAATAAGAAAGAAAGATTGTATATATATATATATAATAGTTAGTGCCTATGAAATTCATTAATTAAAATACTTAGAAGAACCATTGTGCTTAATTCAAGATTATATAAATACTAGTTGCATTAAAAGTAATCAATTATAGACCTTATGAAGAATTCTTTGTGCAACCTGTATCAATGGCGTTAATGTAGTCAATTCTGCACAATTTTCTAAGAAAGGATGAGAAAGCAATTCATCCGCAGTTGCTCTTTCATCCACTTCGACAGCAAGGCACCTTTCCAAAAAGTTTTGAAACGTAGGACTAAGCGATTCCCATCTTGGTATGGAAGGTTTACCGATGGCAGCAATTAAATATAATGCTCTTAGTGCCGTTTCTTTCATATAAGGTGGCTCACCCTCGATCATCTCAATGGCCATTATACCGAGTGACCAAATGTCAACTTTTTTTCCGTATTGTTTTCTCGTCACTACTTCCGGTGCCATCCAATACGGAGAACCCACCATAGTTTGTCTCTTTTCGTCGCCATTAATATTAGCGCAGAAACCAAAATCCGTTACTTTGACAGTTCCGTTCATACCCAATAGCACATTATCGGATTTAATGTCTCGATGAATGATACCCCTTTTGTGGAGAAAACTTATTGCTTTCAAAACCTCTCTACAGACGGCTGCAATTTGTGCCTCCTTCATAACAGTCTCTGTAACAACATCTGTAAGAGGTCCTCCTTCTAATAATTCCATTACCACCCACAAATGACAATCTAAAAGATATGCGTCCAAGAAATTAACTAAATTCGGGTGTTGAAATTCTTTGAGAACTTTGATTTCAGTCAATATGAGTTCCTTTTTTGGTTGCTTAGACAAGTCGATATCCTTAATGGCTACTTTCTGATTATTTTCAAGATCAGTCGCTACGAATACGGTGCCAGAAGCACCAGCACCAACTTCCTTACTTCTATCAAATTTAAGAGTAGGATCACCACTTTGACAAATAGATCTTAGTTCATCGAATACTTCTTGATCACTCAATTTGACACCACTATAGTCTGTTTTTCTGCGTAATACAGGACTTTCTTCGGTTTTGATTTTGTAATCATCTTCCTCTTCAATCTCTTTCTCGGTTTCCTCCTCTTGAAGTAAACTATCGTCCTCAACGTTGTATACTTTAAGATCTTCGAGAATTTCAGTCAAAGTCTTTTCATTTCTGTCATTCCTATCTATGAAAGTTCTTGGTGCTGGCTTTGGCACTTTATTAACTTTAGGTGGAAGTTCTGGTAAAGTTCGTACCTGGCTATCAGTTGAGCTAGCTGAATTTGAACTATCCGAGTCACACGATTGATACTTCTTAGTTAATATATTATCGATTTCTTCCGATTCTTCTTCTATAAGATTCTCCGTGACAAGTGCTTTAAATACTTTCTCCTGTGGTTTACGTTTAATCGAGTAATTGTAAAATTTGATAGCTTGCAATGCTGCCGCAGGATGTTCATCCTGTTCGGACTTTGATATTTGCGTGTTAAGAAAACGTATCCAGGAAAGCGGCAAACCCTCCAACTGACCTGTTTCTGCATTTTTACTAACGTGAAATTCGTGAGAGACATTAGTAGGCAAGCCTATTTCCGCCACCGTTTCGACATTGACACTTTTCTTTTTAGAAAAAAACTTGGTTATGTTTAAGCTCATTTTCGCGCGAAATCACGCGCTCTATTCCGACTTTTCCTCGTTATTTTACCGATCTATTGTCACTCCTATTCAATCCTTAATATAAGGGATTATTAAAACTTCTTAATTCTTTCAATACAAATTACCATTGTATCTTTCAGGCGTAACGTCACTCCTTAAACCGATATCTCTTTCTCTCTCTCTTTCTCCCCCACCCCCATCACTCCACCCGAATTTTCTTTACGCCAATGTTACCACCGACAAAATTACCCTAGTCATTTCGTTTACCTAGTGACATTCGATATCCCATTCGCAACCAAGTTCATTCTGCTCAATATTTATCCCTATGAAATCTATCATATCTACTATAGAATTTTAAAATATCAACTAATCGTTGATTCTTCTTTTCTGATAATTTATTAAATAAACCTTTCCTTAATTTCGTTTCCAAATGATAAAGATATTGTTTGTCTTCGTATCTCCCTGTAAGAAATGACGAAGCAGGTAGATTACATTGTTTAATGTAATATTGAATATTTGAAGTTTTAAATGTACGTGATTGTTTTTATTGTTATAGTTGCAAAGGAACGCACAATAAAATTGAATATCTTTTTTACACGATTTCGAAAGTATAAGCGTGTTAATTTATTCCTACAAAAGGAGGAAAAGTTGTCTTTGAGCTCATGGTCAAAATAAGTTATAGAATCTGAGATTTACGCTTGTGTCGGGCGGAAGAAATACGCTAAGTGTGACAAGGACAACTCGAAGGAAAAAAGAAAATGGAAAATAATCTAATTTGAGAGAAAGGGCTGGTAAAAGGGATCGAGTCTTCTAAATAATTACGTAGAAGTAATTATTACCATAAGTAGTTCTTTTTAACGCAAAGAAACGAAATTGACCTTGGTCAATTAAAAAAGGATCGAAAGGAAATTGACAACTCGTTTATTCATCCTTGAAACAAGCCCGCTTCGAGGCCGCCATATTGTTTTTTAGCGATGCAACACATTTTCTTCCTGTGTGAACTTGGCCGTGGCCATACACCTGCGAACAAAAATGGCGGATGCTATTCGTGGTAGTGTCATTTCGTAAGCAGTCGTAAGCAGTCGCAACGGTGGCTGGATTCGAGTACGTTTCAGAACGTACACGAGGAGAGACCCTTTGCTTAAACTGACGTGAGCTTGTTTGTTAGTATTTGTTTTACGCGCGCGCATATATGCGTGTGTATGCGTGCGCGTATGTCACTGCGTATGTAAGTGTAAGTACAGTGGATCCGAAAGAAATTTGTCCTAATAATTAAAAAGAACAAATATAAAGAGATATTTAATCTTTGTTACTTTGACTTTTAACGAGAAGATCAAGGGACGATCGTTCAAACGTGTATATAAATCTGGTTTTAACGGAAAGGAATGAAATAATGGCGAATTTGCGACAAACACCGCTAACATGCAGCGGACATACAAGACCCGTTGTGCATCTTGCATTTTCCGATGTCACCGAATCTGGATATTATCTTATTTCAGCGTGCAAAGGTAATATCGAATCCTAAACGTTCTATTTAAAAATCAACTTTTGTAATATTCCTTTCGTTTTTGTCTCTTCTTTTTTTTTTTCTGTCTACAATCACAATCGTTCCGATTACCTTGGCCCAATTTCGTGCCTAAAGCGTCATGGCAATGCCGGAGAACTTTTACTCTCATATCTTTCCTTAGATCTTTTATACATTAATTATATTTGAATTGTTTCATTTTCAGATGGCAAGCCAATGTTACGACAGGGTGACACTGGAGATTGGATTGGTACATTCGAAGGTCACAAAGGTGCAGTGTGGGGTGTTGCGTTGAACCCACAGGCTACAAGAGCAGCAACTGGTGCAGCAGACTTTAACGCTAAAGTTTGGGATGCTATCAAAGGAGAAGAAGTCTATTCCTTCCAACACAATCACATTGTCAAATCAGTTAACTTTAGCTCAGATTCAAATTACTTGTGCACCGGTTCTAATGAGAAATTAGTTCGCATTTATGATCTGAATCAACCAGAAGCAGCACCACAGGTACTGAAACGAATCCTATCTTCAAATTTGTTGTCATTATATACCCTGCAAATGACGCAAGATTATTTTCTTGTAGATTTTCTCAGGTCATACGAGTGGTATCAGGCATGTTACTTTTTTCAAAGACAATACCGCATTGGTTTCTTGCGCTGATGATAAAACATTAAGAGTTTGGGATAGAAATAGTGGTCAAGAAACAAAAAGGTTAGATTTTCCTGCCATACCTAATTCTATGGAAGTATCTAAGGATGGTAATATTATCACAACCACTCACTCCAACATTGTGACTTTCTGGGATAGCAAAGAGTATGTCTGTTTTAACAAATATATCTCGATTAAATAATGTTTGTTATTTTACATTTAAGACTATATCTAAATAGTTCAAGGTGTGTGTGACCATCTACCATATTTTTAACATGCGTTTTAAGCGTACACAACTTTATGTTTAATTAATTTCCTTGTCATGTACTTGTAAATTCGCTGCTCATGCGTCAGCTCACCTTGGCCTCATAGAAAGTATTTCCTGCATACAAATTAAATGTCGTATGACTCTATATGTACGATGCTCTACTTTCCTTTTGTTTTATCTTTTTAAACATTAAATTTAATAAACAATTGTTTTGTAATATTTTCCTGATATTAATGTTATTCTGTTTTTCTTGTTTTAGATTAACTAAAATACGTGACTTTACAGTGCCAACTCAAGCAAATAGTGCCAGCTTGCATCCCGATTGTAGCATTTTTGTATGCGGCGGTGAAGATTTAAAAATGTATAAATTTGATTATAGCACAGGTGCAGAAATAGGTCCGTATTTATTATTAAACTAAAATATTATAACTTTCTTTTTTATGAAACTTTATTAAATTTGTGTAAATTTTTGATCGGACAGAATCATTCAAAGGACATTTTGGTCCTGTACATTGTGTACGATTTTCACCGGATGGAGAACTTTATGCCAGTGGCTCGGAGGATGGGACTTTGAGATTATGGCAAACAACGGTCGGCAAAACTTATGGTTTGTGGCGTTGCGTTGAACAGGCTCCCGCCATACAAGAAAATGCTACTGTCCTTAATAACAAACAAGAAGTTCCTGCCAGCTAAATGCATTTTTCTATTATAAAACCCACGATGATGATTATGCGAAATAAGAGTTAACGCGGGGAAAAAAGAATCTCTTATCCTGAAAAATGTATTGGAAAATTATATTCATCTGTGAAATACCGTCAAAGTATGTTTTTTAAGCAATGCATTTCTGAGAAGATTTTGAGGAGACATACCCTAGTGAGTTTTCGGTTTTTCGGGTGTTCTAAAAAAAGACTAAATGAAAAGAAATGGACCAAACTTTTATAGTCTAGCGGGTATCTACAAAAACATAGGAGGCTATTCATTACTATTTATTAGGACAGGAAAACGCGAAGTAGAGTAACATTTACATTTGTTATTGTCATATACAAGTATATCATTATTATATCACTAAATAAAATAGAAGTGTAATGAGAAAATCTAAAAAAACGATTGAAATACTTCGTTTCGTTTTGTTATTTGGTAATGCCATCTGTACAGAAGAATACAATAAATAAATAAATAAATATATATATACACAGTCGTTTACATACATCATTATCATTATGAAAAATTTGGAAATTAAATTTTAATCCTTAAGTATTGTCAGAAAGTTTTAATAACTCCATACACTCTTTCTGGCTTGAAAAGTTTTCTATAACAGATGAATAAAATAATATTTCAAAGATTTAAATATTTTGGCGCTAAAGTCTATCGGATACAAAGACAGCTTGACTGAAAACTTACCGACCGTGCAACAACTATTAACGCTATCTAGTGGCGAAGATCATTACTAAAAATTACCGACGGAACTAAGAACGTGTCGCCACCTAGCTGATAAACTATATAACGTTTAGAACATAAACTATTGTTCTACCGATAAAAGAATGTTGCCGGTAATATTTGTTTGATACTTATGTAAAACGCCAAACGAATTTTTTTCTGCACAATTATTAAGATCATTGACATTAATATAATATAATATAATTTAAGTTTTGTATGTATATCAATCACGAAACATTTTAAAAACAATGTTTTATTGAAATAATAAGAATATAATTAAATATATTAACTAGAGTAATCTTTTAATAAAGATTGTTTGAAAAATATCTTTATTTTTGATAGAATTGTTGAGATCGTTTGTGTATAATATAGAGTTATTGAAATAGTAGGTATGTTATTGTATTATCTTACGCGATGGCATTGTTCTCTTACCATTAGTGAACCTTATCTCAGGCTCAACTGTGCACCTTTTTCATTACTATAGTGACGACGAAGTACGAATCTTACTATCTTACAGTTTCTCAAGGCATTCGTTTGAAAGCTTTTGTCAATTAAATACGTTTAAATCTAACTTAGAAAATAATAAATCATTTCAACTATAATAAACTAACAATAAGTGTATAACATACATGCGAAATATAGTATATTAATATTTAAACGTTAATTTATCGAAAGTTTAACGTGTTAGCAACCATTTGGAATCGTTTAGAGTTTCTTTTAATCGAAAATAAAAAAACAAAAAAGGTAAAAATTGTGTTAAAGTAATCACGTTTAAGTAAATATGTGTTAAAATATTGTAAATTTGTATAAATCGTTTTTGAAAACTAATCAGTTTAAATTTGTTCGATAATAACATCAAAATAAATCTTGCTAAGTGTTTAAATGTCATGCAATAGGACAATACAATTGACATACTGTCAATAAGACGAGAACAAACCTCACATCGAATGTTTCTATTTGTACTTTTTTTCCCTTTGTTTTTCATATTTTTTTTTGAACAAACATTGTCTTAATTTAAACATGTTAATTAAAAAAAGAAAAAAACAATTCGTTTGTTCTTACAGCAATATGATTTTGTCGAATTCGGAAAATAACGAGGATGATTCGTTTATTCGCGTAAGTGTTTATCCTCGATGATAAATCAATCCTAATGCAAATATCATTTTTATAAAAGCAAAATTGATCGTTACTTCATTTTTCAGCGTTTAATAAATCGTGCCACTGTTAAAAATAAAGAACCGCACGAATTGGCAACGATGCAATTGAGACAAAAAATGAACATTTTACGGGCGATAAATGTCTACCGATTTGAAGGTACGTCACCCTTTCTTGCTAACCCTCCTTCCCTCCTCGTACCCCCTTGCACATTTACGAATGCATTTTTATTCGATTTAGTCACTACTTTATATGCAACGTTTATATATGTTTAAACAGATTTTGGAAGCACATGTAACAAATTGTCCGACAAAGCTTTGAACTGTTTAAATAAAGAAATCCTCTTCAAAACGGAAATGTATGAAAATGATATAATGATACCCAGTAAACTCTTGGAAAACGAAACTTTCCTAAGCGGATTGAAGAACGACATAATTACCAAAAAATGTCGCAATTGGAACCTTAAAATAGATAAGACGTTGAATTACGAGGATTTGTCAGATAAAATCAAAGCACCAGTTATTTCTGAAGAGAAATTAAACATCGATCAGATTGCGGAAAAATCGAAAATATCGGAAATCAAATGTAACGATAATAAAATGGATGAAAAATGTTTAACGAGTATCAAAACTGACGAAAGTACGAAATCTAAAACACTCTATACTTGTTTGAACGAAGAAATTCGAGATCTTAAAGAAGAACTTGAATCGTTACAATGTAATTCTTATCTAATGGATACCCCGAAAAAAAAATCATTTGATTTTCGTAAGAATTTCGTTGCCAGGAATTCGATCGAATGTTCGAAAAAAAGATTATTGACGGATTACATCGTGCCAGGTGTGCACAAAGCTTTCGAAGATATTTCTTCGAAAGAAATAGATTCACGGGAAATAGAAAATAATATCAATAACAAATTGAACGAAGTTATGCGATACGAGCAAGCGATTCCTCGTTCTAATAATAATAATAATAATAATATCGATAACGATAATAAAAGTATGAAAAAAATAGAAAAACCTAAACGAATAATGAAGCCAAATTTAGAATCGACGATTAAATCATGTTCTGGGGATTCAACGAAAAAACACGCATCGCCATTTTCTATACCGAGCTCGATTTCAACGATACTTCCTACCGCCTCGTCGAAATCTGAATTTGGTGAGAAAAGCGAGGACAAATATTCGTACGGTAGTTCGGAAATTGTTGAAAGTATTATACCATTGGAGGAGATGCACAAATTTCTCGACAATGCATTTAACAGCGAATTACTCAACAGTTCTTACATGTTAAATTCAACTAATTCCTACGAAGACAATTTAAATCACAAAAGGATCGGCAAATCAAAGACAACTCCTACTAATGAGACTTTGAATCAAAGATTATTGGCAAGCGAACCAACGCAAAGAAAAGTAATTAGAGAAACGAAAATGCTCAGATCATTTTCCCAAGAAATTAATAGAAAGGTATTCGTTTACAAACGTAATATTAATACAGCTATCTAATATGATTTGTTGTTTTTTTTTCTTTTTCTCTTAATAAGGAATCACATCCACGCTCGAACATGGAAGGAAGACAAATCAGTGATCCAGTTATAAAACACAAAGACAAAATACAAGAACTTTTACAAAGATTGGAAGTACAACAAACGTTGATACATCAAGCTAGCAAGGCTTTAAACTTTTGTAATTTCATGAAAATGTTTCAATATAGTATACAACACGTGGAATCCGAGAGATTGTTGTTATTATCGATGCTTAAGAAAAAAGCTGTATTGAATGAAATTAAACGTATCGACGAATTCCAGGATAATACTATTTCCTTATACGAGCACGGAAAAGTTACCATCTCGCAGATCAGTTTGAGCATCAATAAAGATAAAATTGATTTGTCGGGTTTAACTCCTGATATGTGTGGATGGTTTATGGTTACGGTGACCCATGAATCGACGGTTTGGGCAACGAGTGCTATGAATTATTCATTCGATAGTCCAATTACTATTCGTTTTCCCGAATCAATAACCGTACCAAATCTGAGCCCTAATTTTATCATCGTCGTAGACGTTTACAGTTTGCAATTAAGAAACACAAATTCCAATGAAAAGGGAGAACAATCGGGCAACAACAATATTACGTGTCCCTCACCTAATCACTTGTGGAAAAAATTGGAGAAATCACGATTGAAGCAAAATGAAATACCATGTTCCAACAGTATCAGAGAAACGTCTTTTCAACTTACTGGATACGTACAATTAACTCTTCAAGATCTGGACAAAGTTCCACCTTGGTATTTATTATCGGTAATTTGTTTCTTTATATTTTAACGTTTCAGTTAAGATAAACTCGTTAGAAAATTAGATAATAAGTTGTCAAATTAATTATCGTTAACCAGGTACCTTCGAATTCGATTTTGCAAGGGAAAATAAATTTCAAATTGTCTCGGAAAATCAAAATATCGCTTATCCATTCCGGTTTCTTGACACACGGCGACGAAGCAGGTGGATTGGCTGCTTGGAATAGAAGATGGTGCATTCTCGATGGTAGTTGCATGAAATTTTGGAATTATCCTCAAGAACACGACTTGAGATCACCGTTGTTGATCATCGATTTGACTCGTTGCACAACTAACGAGGTACAAGTCGTGGATAGGACCATTTGTGCTAGACCACGCACGCTTATGTTTAAAACTATAAGAGAAAGAGTATCTCGCGATGAAAATAGCATGTTTCTCGAGTGTCAATGCAGTTACACTGTCGTAAGGTAAACTTAAATATATCTTTTTACGCTTTTTAACTAGCTTAACAAATATTTTTTACAGACACTTGCTATCCTGCGATACCATCCACGATATGATGGAATGGAGTTCTAAATTAAACTACGTCTTATCCATATTGAGCAATTGGAAATCAAGAAGGAACGATTTCATTCCTACCACTGAATTGTAATTGAATTATTTCTAAACTCTGCCAATGTATAATATTGAAACGCTTTTAAAAAAATATTCTCTGAAAAAAAAGAAGAGGAAAAAAAAAGAAACAAAAAATAATGTGAACAAAGATACAAGTATCGTTGATGAATATCGGGTCAGGAATCATCTTCAAAATAGTTACTTTAATGACAATTGAATCTAAACGATATAAAAATGTTCTAAAACACTTGAGAAATATAAAGTTTCTATGTGGTTAGAAATTTACTTCTTCTCTTTGGCTGACGATCTGTACTTTCGTTATCCTCGTTAACGCGTTTCTTCTTTCTCAACGATCTCGTTGAACTTTTGGAAAGGTTGTTTTTGTTCAATAACGCGTTAGAATGTTCACTGTCGCTATTTGAAGAAGAAATCACGTTGAAGTGACACTTGTCCGTTACCGGAGTTACCGGTGATTGAGTTTTTATCGACGTCGTATGATCAGTCGTAGATATAACACTATCAGTTAAATTGTCCGAGGTAGAACTCTTCCTATCGGAATCAGTATTATTCAATGATGTATCTTTATCCGGAATAAATTTGGCAAAAACCGAGGCTGGAAGAGGTATCGGTATAGGAACTGGAATTGGTATTGGTATTGGATAAGGAACGAGTATCGTTACGGGAGGTAATAACGACGACGACGACGAGTAGGAAGTTTGAGACGAGAATTGAGATTGGATGGGATTAACCGATGCCGTTTCGGGATATATTTTCAAATCCGAGTGATATTTATGTTGCCTTGATTCGTCGATGCAAGAACCAGGCGAGGGTATTGCTTCGGATTGTATCGGTGACGAAGACGTATCTGGAATCCAAGAGGAAGATTTCCGTAATTTCCTTTGCTGAGAATAACGAACGTTATCCCAATTTCTCGACGATTCTCTACCACGCAATCCTTTAATATCCTTCAGGTGTATATCACTTTTATCTTCTATAACAGATTTATATATCTTATGCCTGTCGTGTAATTCATCGTCCATGATGTTTCCTATTACATGTTGTTTGGTATGATCAACGGAAGATGATCTCGATTGGCTCAAATTTAAAAGATTCGAATCCGTATATGGAATTCTACAATGCATACGATCGTTAGCGCAATGATAATACTTTTCGTATTCACGATCTTTAAAAGATTCTTTAATAGTTTCGCGAACACTTTCACTATTGTCTTTCGTCTTCTCGTCCGTGTTTTCCATCTTCCTCGTCGTCGTCGTCGTCGTCGTCGTAGTCATCGTTCTCGATCTCGACGTCGCGTTGTTGACGTCCGTTCGCGTGCAAAACGAATTTCTTCTTATCAATTTGAGAGACAAATTGTCAGATTTTGGGAGATCTATCGATTCCTTACGATCAATTTCGGCGTTTTGTGACAGAGGCGAGAGCCTGCTGATCGACTCGTCGTCGACGATCAAAATTTCTTCCGTCGAACTACGAGGCGATTGACAGTTCCGAAGCCAAAGTTCGGGGGTGATTAATGCACCACTACCACCACCACAACCACCACCACCCTTTCCAGAATCGCTAGGTGGAATCGCTGTTAATCCATGAAGGGCTAGATGCGTCTCGGTTTCTCGACAAAATATGTTCATCTTGTATTGATTCAAACACTTGTCGCTACAAAATTGAAGCTGACTTTCGCCGTCCTGTTAAAAAAAAAACAACAAATTATCAATTTTAATCTAATTTAATAAAGCGAACGTTCATTTTTTATTTTCATTGTCAAAATAAATATGATTATAATATAATAAATAAATTGTTTGACCTGAAAATCGACGTAACTGATAGGATTTCTAACGTGTCTGCACCAATCGCACGTACGTGCTCTTTTAAAAGCTGCTCTTCGGCCGGCTGCGAAACAAGCTTCGCTGCAAAATTGTCCCAAAGCACTGACCATACCGCAAGAAAGTGGATTCGTTCTTCCCGGTTCCCACGTTTCACCGATTCGTCCGCACCAAGAACAGGATATCAATCTGTGCCCGACCTCCGTCATTTCATCTGTAGCATGCCAAGCAATGTCATTGAATAAAATTACACGCCATTTAAATATTAGGGTGAACCCAAAAATTCGTGCATTGTTTTTTTAATTATCACTCGCATGTAAAGTATAATAAATAATAATAATAGGTTATAGACACCAACGTAATAAACCTATCATTAGCAACAAAAATGCCACTTTATTTAACAATTAAGTTTAACTTTAATTTACCTGGGCTACTGGAAGTTGAATCGTTGTGATAAGGTAATCTTGAAGTAGATGGTAGGACAGTTTTGATTTGTAACGACGGACTTGCCGTAACTTTATCGTTATTCTTAAAAATATCGTTAGAATAATACGAAGGCGTTAATTTCGTTCGCAGTGAATGAGAAAAAACCGATTGATGATGATTCGTGGCCATCGGTGATCTCGAACTTCCATCGAATAGAAATTGTCGATCCATTTGAGGCAAGGGATGTTTCGAAGTTGCAACCGGTGCAAAATGATCGAGATTTAAGCCTCTGGTGTAACCGCTATCAACTTTCTCATAACCGTACCATCCCAATAATTCGCTCATCGCCGTTGCTGCATATTCCTGCACAACAAAAATCGAATAACACGAATAAACAACTATTATTCTTTAGTTCATTAGTTCCCCATTTATCAAATAAAATGAATAATGGAAGAAGATTTAAACGGAAATCCGAAACGGGGATATGTTTTCTAACAAATTAGTTTCATTTAAAATTTGCCTCGTTAAGGAAAAACAAAAGGGTTGGGCAAAGTATTCTCGTTAAGGATTCGATCCTTTAGTTTTAAACGAAACAAAAAATCGAATTGAATGAAATGAAATGAAAATATAGAAAAAAAGAAAAAAGAAACGTGCAATTGATTTATTTATCTTGCCGAAAAGCGGGGGTTGGGGTGTGCTCGCGCGAGCATTGCTTCGCGGAGAAGCAAAACGTGATACTCCGAGGTTCTGCATGTATACGTGGTCCATCTACATGTAACAGTGAGGGGTATAAATATAACCAGTACGCATATGTACTCCCCGATGTATGTACGCGCGTATATCTGTGTTCATATATGGTATACGAAATCGAGGATATCACGTGGCGTGCGGATCAATCCATTAGTCGACTCGTTTCAGTTACACCGTGCATCGTATACTTCTTATGCTGGTATATCGTACGCTCGAGCGAAGGTAATATGCTACGATAAATCTTGAATCTTTGCAGCCGAGGTTCGACGAACGAACGAACGAACGAACGATTCTTTTCATGAGTTTTTGTTCTAATCAAGTGAACAAGAAACGATAATTTAAAACAAGTTACGTCAACCTACACCATTTAATATAAACCCTTTTAGAATCCCAATACAATTTGCTTTTACATAATATATTTATGTTACTATTTAAATATTCCTTTCCTAATTAAATCCAGATTCTAGATATTAGATACATTAATATACTCAATATATCTATATCTACGTATAATAGTCGTTTGGATTATATTACAATACTGATATAGCGAAACGATTGATCGAGAGACCGCGAATCGTAGAAAGGAGGATAGAAGCTCATGATTATCAGGTTGTATTAGGAGGATGATGGTACTCGCGCTGTCTGGCACGCAGGTGCGCTTTCCCAGTGCACGCGAACACAATCGGCATAGTGTATATCGATATAGACTTTCTCTGTGCCCGTACGGTCGTTTGCCACGGATTAACAAACATCGATTAACTACTATTTTCTTCTTCTATCTGCTGGCATTAGTCTCGTCCCCGTCCCAAAGCTTCCAAGTAAAACCCCCGCCCCCCCAGTCTACTTATTTCACCTCGACACGCGATCCGACCTAACGATTCCTCTCGGCTTTTTCTTTTTCTTTTTCTTTTCTTTTTCTTTTTTTCCCCCTATTATACTTCCCTCTTTCTTTTATCTTTTTCTTCCTCATTTAATGCGGCTCTTCGATTCGGTCGTGCCAAAACTAAATCGATATAATCCGTCTCTATTATATACTACTTATATATATACGTACAATATATAAACCTCGCGAGTTAACTTTTCAATGTCAAACCGAAATAATCCTTAACTAAAATAATTCAATCTTATTTGAATAAAAAAATAAGATCCATTATTTAATTGCATCTATTATTTGTCGCATAAATTGTCTTAACGTTACTACAAACCAAGAAAACGTTACCATTTGCATTTCTATTATAATTGTTTTGATGCATACTATTTAGCAAAGAGTACGAAGATCGATAGTAGTTAATGATTTCTCCGAACGTTGAATTCCGCAATTTCGAAGCGAATTCAAATTAATTATATGTATATATATATATGTGTGTATATAATGCACGCGTGGCCTACGCATGTTGGAAATAAAATTCAAATACATTCAAGTGTAACAGTATATCTTGTCGATATCGTCGAAAATTCGAGGCCAGGCTCCAAAAGTTATTTCTCTCTCTCTCTCTCTCTCTTTTTCTCATCCATCATTTGATGTATCGGTGTATCGGGTGTATCGTTTCGATACTTTTCCAAGAACGATCTCATGCAGAAATTCATTGCAACCAGGTGAATACGCGCAAGGCGAAAGGTATAATGATGAGAGCCGATCCGTGGGTGTCGTATTGCAACCTATTATGATTTCGAATAAATCAGGCGAAGGAGAGTAACATGAAACTCGTTGCTTCTCTCCCATGTATACCCCGTTTCATCTTTGTACGAACAGGTATCGCGAGGAGACATTATATACTCGATAACGTGACGCTTGAAACCATGAAAGCGACATATTACCACCATCCTTCTTCTTCCTTCCTTGCTTCCTTCCTTCCTTCCTAATCATAATCTTTTTCCAAAATTCCTATTTCCTTCAACATCTTCCCTTGACGCTAGAAATTTTCATTTGGAATCGTCCTGACTAAAAAACAAAAAAGCAAAAAGAAAAAGAAATAATTCAAAGTTAGATTTGTGTATCATTTTGTTGGCTACTACGAAGGCTAATGAAACAAAAAAACTCCCATGGAAGATCATCGAGTATCGATTGTGTTCCTCTTGATTAATTTCCTATTGCATTGATCTTTTTTCTTCTACCCGTTAATTTAGGACAAGCACGTAACAAACATGCACCATGCAATACATATACATAAGTAATATACGTATAGTATCCACTAGTATTACCTGAAACTTGTAATTAGTATAAGATAACAAAAAAAAAGATGTCCAAACTAACGTTGTATATATATTTTTTAATCCTAACAATAAAATAAAACTTTACCCTTATCTCCTCGTCAGCCTCTTCTTTCTTCACCTTTGTTGGTACACGTTTTCTTTCCATTAAATCGTCACGAACAGTTTTATCTTCTAACGATAACGATGAAGAAGAAGATGACGATGACGACGAGGACGACGACGATGACAACGATGACAACGATGATGACGACGAGGGTGACGACGATGACAACGATGACGATGACGATGACGATGACGACGATGACACTCGCGTCTTAACTGATCTCTCGTTTATTATATTCAAATGCGATTCTACCCTACTTCCCATTACTCTCTTCTACGCGTTCATAAGTCATTCAAATGATTTCTAAATATGAACGCAAATAAACATATATTTTAATCGGAATAATTCACTTTACTACTGTGTTGTCCCATAAAAATCGTTATTTCGTTTCTTAAACAAAAAAATAATAATTTACGAATTGGTTTGTATATGATCGAACGATTAATCGAACGATGCATTTCGTTTAATCGAGTAAAAAAAATAATATTCTCTTTGAAAATCATTTAATGTATATTATGTTCGTTCTAAAAGTAAAAGGATGAGCCAAAATGATATATATCTATACTGTGTAATCCCGAATAAAATGTGTTCCCTACTACGAGAAAATGTTGGAAGAGTTTTTCCTAAAAATACTTAGCTAGATAGTCTCACATGCCGCAAGCAACGGAGAAGGCAGGCTCTAGGCTAATCGAATTTCACTGATATTTTTAGGTCACTAAGGTAAAACAACTCGCATTAAAATTAGACCATATGATCGGTCTCTCTCTCTCTTTCTCTCCCTTCCTCCCTCCAACCCTCACCCTCTCTCTTTCTCTCTCTCTCTCTTTTATCTTTCCTTGTATCCTCTTTGTCTTGTCGTTTAGATCTTTTCAGTCAAGATAATCGTATAGATTATTATGCGTTCCCTTTTTCGAAAATTCGCGGTATTCCTTAACGAGAGTGTCGATGAACGCACACGATGATGACAACGTCATTTTCGTTTGTTTCAATGAAATCTAACAATAAACGGGTACACGTGCGCTTAAAATAGAATGTTTTGTTTAAAAATTCTCGTAGGATGCATATCGCATTGATCTAAATTCCGTTTTAAAGATCACCGATTACCCGCGTAATTTAAATCCTCGAAGCTGCTTTCGATATCTTCTTCTTATTGTTGGTTTATATTTTTAGAGAGGACAAAAAATTACTCAGTAAAGTGATAAAAAGATTATAAGGATTTGGAGAAAATCGTTGAATTGGTAAATTCACTTAGCACACTTTTGTATGTATCACTGATCGCGAAGGAAAGATGATGATTCAAGAAACCGATTCAAAGGAGACTCTTCTCGCGTGTACGCTCCTACGTGTACGCGGTAAAAATAACCAAGTGCCGATCAGCCGGCATTCGTATGAATTCGTGCGTTTTCGGAATAACTCGGCTCGCGTGAAACTCAAATTTCATCACTATCACGGATTACAAATGACATGAAATGTATTGACCGTATTATTTTCTACATTTGTATGAACGTATTTACCCAATCCGAAATTATAAATATGACATATATTTGTTTTAAAAATTAATTAATTATTAGATTATTATGAAACCTATTATGCCACAATTTAAATAAGGACTCTGTGCTGCAAAAAAGAAAAGAACTCAATCGGTCTAATAGAAATCTATTTAACCGACAGATCGAAATCTATATTACCGACAGATTGAAATCTATATTACCGACAGATCGAAATCTATATAACCGACTGATAGAAATCTATATTACCGACTGATCGAAATCTATATAACCAACTGATCAAATTTATAAAAAAATTTCACTTTCGCCCCGAGAGGGCACACTATTCTTGCAATAATCTAACCTAGCATTAACATTTATTTGATGCCTTTTTAATTCGTCTTTAATTGTGTAACTTCTATTAAAAACACGTGCACAAAATGCCAGTTGATTTAGGTTTCGTTGAAAAATGTGAGCCCTGGCAATTGGAAAGTAGATTTTTTCCAAGTAAAATAGGTGGTAGACCAGCTTGGTTAGATTTAAAAAATATACCCAGCAAGGAAGATCTTGAATGCGAATATTGCAAAAATCCATGCACTTTTTTGTGTCAAATTTATGCCCCATACGAGGAAGATGATGATGCATTTCATAGAATGTTGTATGTATTTATATGTAAGGATCCAAGTTGTTGTAAAACAAATGAAAATGGGAATTTAAAGGTTCTGCGCTCTCAGTTAAATAGATTCAATCCCTTTTATCCTTCAGAACCACCTATAGAAAAAGAAGACTGGAGAACGGATATCAGTACGTATACAAATTAATATAACATTGTTGCGGTCTTATTATATTACTGTTCAAATGTATTTATATTCTAAATCGATTATATTTATACGTAACTGTTTCTAGGTACCGATTCTTGGTGCAAAACTTGTTGCGTTTGTGGCATCTCAGCACTGAATCATTGTTCCAAATGCAAAATTGCTAATTATTGTTGTCGCAATCACCAAATCTTTGATTGGAAACAAGGCCATAAACATAATTGTGGCAATAATGTAAATATAAGTAATAGTTTTCTCTTTCCCGAATATGAACTAGTAATAGAATCTGAAGAAAGTATAAATGAAGATGATGAAGATTGTAATGAAATAGAAGAAAAAGAAATGGCAAAATACAAATCCATGGTACAACGTAACGAAACAGGATCCTTCCAAGCTGGAAAAGATGAGGAGGATTTAGTAAAAATGGCCAATGCTGATGAAGATGAAATATTTGCTCGATTCCATGCAAGAATTGCTCACAATCCAGAACAAGTTGTAAGGTATACTATCTATATTTCGATATCAAATATTTCATTTAAATATATTTGTAATTTTGATTAATAACCATATAACATTTTTGTAAATTTTAGGTATGAAAGAAATGGACAAATTTTATATATTTCAGATAATACAAACATTCAGAATGTTCCAAAATGTTCATTGTGTGGTGGAGAAAGACAATTTGAATTTCAAGTATGTCATTTAAAATCTTCTGAAGATAAATAAATATCAGTATCATATCACATAATACTTCATGATAAATAATTTCTTCCATTTCTTTGCAGATCATGCCCCAATTGCTGAATTTCTTTAATTACGAAGATGTTATTAATTCAGTAGATTGGGGTATACTTGTTATATTTACTTGCAAAAAATCTTGTATGCCTAATGAAAAATATGCAATGGAGTATATATGGAAACAAGATATTGTATCAGATAAAATTGATAGTTCGTCTGAAAATAAAAATGATTCTACAAATTATATTTATTCTTTAAATGCTTAACTTTACCTTTACATTTTTTTTTTTTAATAATATCCAAATGATAATTCCTTAAAGATAACAGTTCACTTTTGCATAAACTTTGATAAAACAGTTATATTAATTAACACATTTATTTATACTATTGCATATTCGCTCCAAGATTTTTTTTATTTTTTATATTTATAACAATGAAAGGAAATACTATACAGTCATTAAATTATTTATATAATCCTATACAATCATTTATGGTAAGTTTAAGATATTAGAGAAATAATAACGAAAATTATATTATATTAGTAAGGTTCGGAAATGATATTGCTTCTTTTCAGCACCAACAAAAGAAAAAATATATTTCCCATTGAGCATATATATAACTAACTAACTTAAAACTTTATAAATGTTAGATATATAAGAAAATATAAAATAGATAATATTTGGTTTTTTCTTAAATTTTCTAAACTAACTATACTAAAATTACTATCAATAGTTTAAGATGTATTTATGAATAAATCTGAGATGTTTTTTCCTAATATTTATTTTTTTTTCCATTCGTTTTGTAATAAATTTATGCGCATGATTAAGACAATGAGTAATATCTGTCGCATATTCTACAAGTATTTCACATCATAGATTGACATAATAAATAGATTTCTTTACTTACTTGAAACAATTATTTCTACATGATGAATATTTATAACTCTGTGTGTTCGAAATGATGTGCTTTAAAATCAGCTGGATGTACGAATAAGCCTTCCATAGTTTTCCATTGCAAATGTTGACTATTATGCGAATAATCACCTATTACTTCCATTTGACCAACAAGATGGGTATATGATCTCCCACTAATGGATAAATACCTGAGATTGGAACATTATTCGATTAATTATCCAACGATATATATAAATAAATAGAAATTTGAAATATTTGAAGAGAAAGGAAAAATCAAATATAAGAAACATACGCATTTGTATCAACATGCTTCAACATGACCGTATCATTCCTCTCCCAAAAATCAGTTTGGCATATTATTTGCCAATTGTCTCCGCTATCGCTTGGTCTTCTGTAATCCCCGAAAGCAGATATCTCTTGTTTACCGCTCAATGGAGAAGTAACTAAATGCGAATGTAAATTCTTTTTTGTTGCTACATGTTCTAATCTAATTATATCATCGCATTTAATCGGCTTCCTGTTAACAAATAGATAAATTGAATAAAAATAAGTTATTTCATTTTTGTACCGATATGAAAATTGTAATTTAATTTATAATGCAAAAAAAACGTAATTACCCACGAATATATTGTTTTTTATATTCTGCTTTTACAAGCCAGTACGAATTACCATCCTCTTTAACTTCTATACCTGTCACTGATTGTTGTCCACTACCACTCCCATATCTGATATCATGAGAATGTAATCTTACATTGAAGTCAACGTTCATTAATTTAATAACTGATCCATATGTTACATATTTAGTTCCTTTGGCTGCAATTTTATGTTTTACATTTATAAAAATAATAGTCAAATTAATAAATCAGTAACATAACCTTAAAATTAGTAATTCTACCTAAACTTGTAATACTATATATATATATATATACATATATATACCTGTTGTAGATCCTACGAAAAATAAACTTATTAAAGATAATAGTAATGGTATCGTTTCTGATAAAAATATCATTTTTAATTAATTAAATAAGAACTTATTAAACTAGAAATACCACGGAATGCCTCAAATCAAACTTCGACTATTTGGCTTGTGTAGATAATCGTCTTATAGTTGTATTCCGCGCGTGTCAATTTTTCATTGGCCCGTATCGTAAGCTATCACGTATAACAAAATTTCGATATAATACAAAATATTTTCCGCATATATAAGAATTTATATGTATTCAATTAAATAATATAAACGATTGATAATTAAATGCTTCCATAAAATAATATACACACTATAATAAATTACATATTACAATCTATACTTCTATTTTGAAATGAAATAAAAGTATTCAAATATATTTAATATTTTTCACATACATACAATAAATTCTGTTTATAAGTTCAAATATTTAATAAATTTATTAAACATAAAATAGATAAAAAAAGATATACGTATGACTGAGTATGCGTTTTATAAATATTAAAAATATATTTTTGCCATATTGGACCCATGTTTATTTCTTAAATGTTTTACAAAATAATTGTCTATAAATTGCATTCGATAATTAGTAAGATTAATTATTAAATACAATTTATTTAATCTTAAGCAGCTTCCCACATTAAGATATGGTACACTTCAACAAGATATATTCTGATACAAGCTATCAGCATGGTGCACACATGTACAATTATTTAGTATATTACATTTAATATTTGTACACCATGCTATAGGCCAATCCATTTTGTGCTAAATATATATATATGTATACAAATGCAGATTAGAGAAAACAAAGATATGAAATACTTATAAAAGAAGCATTTTGATATATCTGTCTTATTATAATATAATACTTAAAACAGTATATATTCGATAAAAAATCTCTCATATTAGTCAATAATTGTATTGATTAATAATTGATCACTTTTAGCAGATCGATAACTTTTCTTAACTAACAATAAGTATCAATATATAATATATAATGTACAATTGCTACCACAATTAATGATCAATTTTTTTTTGATAATGTAGGCAGTAGATCATATTCTTCATTTAAATTTTACTTTTTAGATTTATGATGATCACAGTTAAACTGTTTTTAGCATGTAGAATAAAAATTCCAGGAACTTTCCTTGCAATTTTAGTCATAAAACTTTGTTTTAATAATATGTAACAAAAGTAATGTAAATTAATATTCTATTGCTTTCGGTCGAGTTTTAATATAAACATATGCAGCTATCATTACAAATATTGCAGCTATTGTAGGTAGAACGACTGTGAAAACTCGTTGCTTGTTTTCAAGAAATTCCTTTTTTCGTTCCTTCTTTTGCTTATTTGTTTCTTTTGTTTTACCTTTTAGTTGACGCATCGTCTTGCTGCAAAATATAATTTTCTTCTTATTCATCTTATCATATAAAAACGTATGCATGCAAACAATTTATAAATACTTTTGTTAATTAACTTCTTACTCGATAAAGTAATATACTTTGTCAGAAAATTCATTTCACTTTCAAGTTAAAACAACACTTTTTATACAATTTCTACTCTATATATAAATATAAATGTAAAAAGCATAAAAAAAAACATCTGCGAATAAAAATATATACTTAATATTAACATTTAATTATATATGTATATATATATTATGTCAATAAAGCATAAAACAACATGCGGTCTCTGCTTATGTTCGGTAATGCGAGAATAAATGTAATTAACAACATTCTCAAATATATACGAATAATTACCAAATATTAATATCTTGACTATTTAAATATTTGGTTGAAAAGTGAGTTTTTCAATTGACAGATGCGTGATTAGCAAATGCAAAATTTTAGTGCACACACGTAAATAATAAGCAAACAACACAACTTAATTATATTCCTCCTACTTCCGTACCTATATGCGAATAAACTGAGTAAATTATACCATAATTTAGGTATATCATAGATTTAACGAGTAATGAACATTTCATTGCGATCTACATTATCATTCAAACAGAAACATATCGCAGCGCCACTCTAGGTAAAAAATACAACTACAATTAAAAATAAAAAACAAAAAATTAAGAAAGAAATAAAAAAAGTAGCTATGCAATATTTAAATCGAAGAATACAGAAATGCACAGAAGTTCACAAGTCCCCTTTTTTAGCTACTCAGATTCATTTTGTTTTCAGCATCATTTTTGTTACCACTGGGACCACCATTAAACAATAGTAAGTACTTAACGCGATGACGGTACAATACACTATCAAAGAATA